TTTAAATAAATAAATAATACTCTTTGTTTTTTCGGTAAAGTCACGTAGGTAATAAATGAAATTAAAATTAATAAAAATAATGTAATAAAAATCACGATGTTTCGGAGGCAACACAAGTCTCCGTCATCAGGTGGGACCGTCACAGCCAGATTTACTGTATGAAGTGAGGCAGAGATCCCCTTAACTTGTATTTAAGAGCTTGCATCTTGGAATCCCTGCCTCACTTGATACAGCAAATCTGGCTGTGACGGTCCCACCTGATGACGGAGACTTGTGTTGCCTCCGAAACGTCGTGATTTTTATTATTTTATTTTTATTCATTTATCTTCATTTCTTACCTACGTGGCTTTACCGAAAAAACTAAGAGTATGAATCCTTGCAGTCACGAAAGCTTCAAATCTAGAAATAAATAATAATAAAAAAGAGTTTTCATTTAGGATGGGGCCCAGCTGCTACCGGACGCGCGATGCACCGTGGCGGGTCGTTAACGCGCGGGACGTGCGGGACGTGCGGGCGGTGTTCACCTGCAGGTCCCTGTTGTGGTTCTCGCACATGAGCTGCAAGAAGCGCAAGATTGGCTCCATGATGACCACAACGGGACTCATCTCCCCGTCGTCGCGCGTCGCGCCAAGGGCCCCCGCCCCCCCTCCGCCGAGCCCCCCCCCGCCACCCACGATGGGGCCCCCGCCGACTCCGCTGACGACTCCGGCGCCGGCGATGCTGCCCGCCGCGGCGGCCGCGTCGTCCGGGTCGAGGTCGCGACCCCGCCGGTAGTGGCTGAAGGCCTTTTGGGTGGCGACGGTGGCTTCGGCCAGCTGATCGCGCATCTCCTCGCTTATGCCCGCGACCGAACTCCTCACTGACGCACGCACGCACGCGAAGACAAAGATCCCACGTATAGCCTCGAACAGAAAATTTAACTAAACCATTTTTATTTATTTTAAATGTTATGCTACTCCCCTCCGGCAGAAGGCTGCGGTCCATCAGGACCAAAACCTCACGTCATAAAAACAGTTTCTTCCCATCCGCTGTTGGCCTCTTCAACTTCAACAGGTCAAGGGCTTAAAATGAATTTTACACTTAAAATGACTTTTACACTTAACATTTTATCTACAAAATTACACCTTGCCATATTTACAACATGTTACCCTATTTGTATTTTAAGATTGTATATTACGGCTAGTTTACTCTTTATATTGTATATATTGCATACTTATTCAACATTTTTAGTTAGACTTTGTAATTTTAGTATAGTTAGACTGCATACCACTTATTTAAGTTTTAAGATTCCTACATGATGAATGTATGCACCTTCCTGACATAGTAAATTCCTTGTCCGTGCGAACTTTCACAGCGAATAAAACCCTTTCTGATTCTGATAATTCGAGTTGGTGTCATGTCGGGATGGCAGCCAAAGGGAGTGGAATGCTTCCCGGGAAGAGTACGTCATCCGTTGAGATGGAGCGACGAAATATATAACTTTTTCATTTTCACCAGGTGAGGCCCACTGAGCTATTTCGCTCTTCTCCAGAAGTGAGCTGGCTATCACAAATGATAGCTCAACGAAGTGGCTCATTAATGTATAGCAGCCAAATATTGCTGCTATACATTAAGAGCTTGCATCTTGGAATCCCTGCCTCACTTGATACAGCAAATCTGGCTGTGACGGTCCCACCTGATGACGGAGACTTGTGTTGCCTCCGAAACGTCGTGATTTTTATTTTTTATTAATTTTAATTTCATTTTTTTACCTACGTGACTTTACCGAAAAAACTGAGAGTACAAATATTGCCCGCCACTGATGAGTGCCGTGAGCAGGTCTCCATGGGAGTCGGCGTGTCTCTTTGCGAGTTTGTATGCGTCATCGTCATCATCATCAGCATCTCATCATCATCAGCCATGATCACTCCACTGCTGGATGAAAGCCTCCTCATGCCATTGTGTGGGCTCTATGTGAGTCCATGAATCAATCGGTCTCATCATCATCATCACCCTACGTAAGTCCGTGAGCCTACATGTCACTCGAGAACCCGGTCCACACGCACAGCGGCTGTGATCTCAAGCGGTGACCGGCTCAGTATCTAGGCTCATCCGTGCAACTCCAGGACATCTGTGACAACGAGAGTCGTAGCCCATCGGATACCTCCAGTCTAAATGTTTGCGTGTATGTACGTTGAACTTATTTCGCGCCGTACGTAGCCAACCATGCTTATCGGAGGACGGATAACAAACTAAACACAAAACTCAGTACTAAGAGAAATTCGTTTTCAATTCAGATTTAAAAGTGCAAAGCTCCCAGTGACTTCCGAATATCGGAAGGAAGAGCGTTCCAGACGGCCGCAGAAACACATCAGAAAGCGCCGGGCGATGCGGCCACCGTCTTCGTCCGATGTTTAGCCAAAAGCCGCTGCTGGGAAGATGACCGGAGTTCGCGTGACGACGGCTTATGCTCCATGACGAGATCAGCGAGGTATCGTGGTTCATTTGTGGCAAAACATTTGCATGCAAATGAGTGCGACCTCATAATGTTTTCATTCAGCGGTCAATAATCCAGTTCAGCAAGCACCGGACGGACACGGTCGGAAATTGCGGTGAACAAAAACTAAATTCTGATCAAGATACCGAGTTTCTCTTACCTGAGAGCTCGGGGTAAGCATTTACACCATTGGTACCTCATTTGCCAGTAAAAAATATGAATTTTTTTTTTACCCTTTGATCTGGCAACAAAACTGACACCTTTTTTACGAGGAGTCATGTTTGCATAGACCATAATACCTGCAGTCATAATGCAAACAAAAAACATAACTCTGATAATGGTGCGCCTTTTGGCGTCATCTGGTCCAACCCATGTGAGACTAGGCTCTAAGGAAAGCTGTCTCGGGTGTGGACCAATATACTTCAAGGACAGTGCATACATTATCAGAGTTATGTTTTTTGTTTGCATCATGACTGCAGGTATTGTGGTCTATGCAAACATGACTCCTCGTAAAAAAGGTGTCAGTTTTGTTGCCAGATAGAAGGGTAAAAAACCAATTATCATTTCTACATTTGAAGCTTTCGTGACTGCAAGTATTCATATTCTTACCAGTATATATACGGGGTACGGGGTAGTATCTCTTGGAATCTCTCATTTACTTGATACAGCTATCGTGCTGTGACGGTTCCACCTGAAGACGGAAGCTTGTGTTGCCTCCGAAACGTCGTGATTTTTATTTTATTTTTATTTTACTTTTATTAATTTTAATTTTAATTTTTTACCTACGTGACTTTTCCGAAAAAACCTAAGAATACCAATTATCATGTCTCTGACCTCTGAACCCTGAGCATCCGCCAAACCGCCCCCCTCCCCCACCCCCTTACTACGTCGGCGGCGGATGAGCGGCTCTCTCTCCGGTGGGCTCTCGTCGTCACGGCGCCGGCCCCCAAGCTCGCTGGCGCTCACGGTCACCGTGGCCTTGATCTCCTGCTGGGCGGCCTTCATGCGCTCGTGAAAGACGCGGAAGAAGCACTCGGAGCGGCGGTCCTCCGTCAAGCGGCGGAAGAACGAGTGCTGGAGGGAGGGAGACGTGAAGATCAACGCGAAGATCAACGCAAGGATCATCATCATCATCAAGGATCCGCAACCTCCGCTTGAGCGAGGTTGGCTACGTACGGTGCGAAAAAAGTTCAACGTACATACGTAACGTCGTGATTTGATTTGTTTTTATTTTTGTTTTATTTTACATTTATTTAATTTTATACCTACGTGACTTTAGCAAAAGAACTAAAAAGTATGGATCATTGCAGTCACGAAAACTTAAGATCTAGATTATACGTAAAAGGTTCACGGGTGCGAATGATGGAGTGGTGAGAAGGTGAGTGAGTGTATGGATGAGTAGGTAAGAGTGTGAGTGTATGGATGAGAAAGTGAGAGAGTGAGTGTATGGGTGAGTAAGTGAGAGGGTGAGTGTATGGGTGAGTAGGTGAGAGAGTGAGTGTATGGATGAGTAGGTTAGAGAGTGATTGTATGAATGAGTAGTTGAGAGAGTGAGTGTATGGGTGAGTAGGATAGAGAGTGAGTGTATGGGTGAGTAGCTGAGAGAGTGAGTGTATGGATCAGTAGGTAAGAGAGTGAGTGTATGGATGAGTAGGTTAGAGAGTGATTGTATGAATGAGTAGTTGAGAGAGTGAGTGTATGGGTGAGTAGGATAGAGAGTGAGTGTATGGGTGAGTAGCTGAGAGAGTGAGTGTATGGATGAGTAGGTAAGAGGGTGAGTGTATGGATGAGTGAATGAGAGAGTGAGTGTATGAATGAGTAGTTGAGAGAGTGAGTGGATGGGCGAGAAGGGGAGAGAGTGAATGGAGGGGTGAGTATGTGTAATGTATTGTGCTGTTTCTGTCCTCTCTCTAGACCATACATCTCAACCCCTTATCAGTGCCCTGCCTTATTGCATACCAATTCAGACATTAGTGGTCACCCCGTGCCACTTATAAATCTCAACGTTTATCCTACTGTCGCATCACATGGGAGAAACACAAACAAACAAACTAAACAATTGTTTTGCCCGTATTTTAAACTCAATTTCCCCGTATAAGAATATGCTATGCTGCACCTGTGCTACAGTGTTGCGGCGGGTTCCCATATACAGGGTGCATCAAATTTATTTTAACATTTCTGAGAATTTGCAACAACACCACGAGAAATGTGCCTCCTCCGGCCTCTGGAGACCACCTGGGGAAGATTCCAGGCGTAGCGTTGACGACGATGGCAATCGAGTGGAGACTCTTTGACTTTGTGAAGCTATTAACGTTGCATTTGTTATTACGTTACGGCGAATTATTACACTGGTCAACAAAAAAAAAATTCTGGCCTGGACTTTTGCAGCTGTTTTCAGGATGCTGATTCCAAATCTGGTCTCAGATTTTCTCTATCACATCTAATTTTTATGCTATCGGCATAATCCATTTTCATTGATTTTACCCGAAATTAACTCTGTCACTTATGATTGCAAGTTGTTGCGAGTCAGTGACTGCTTTAGTGTTAAAATATGGTGCTGCATTTTTAGGATAGTGTGTTTTAATATCATTTTATGTAGATATCCACATTTATTTCAGATTTTTCTTCTGCAGTTTTGATTAAAAATGCAATATTTGATATCTCAAAAACCTGATGTGATAGACAAAAACTGATGTCAGATTTGGAATCAGCACCCCAAAATTACCTTAAAACCGTTGGAATACCTTATGCCAGAAAAAGCATAACAAAAGGCGGCTTAATCCTAGCTGGCTTATCTACATATGCCATCTACATTACAAAGGCTCAGTTCCAGCAGCAGTACTGACCATCTCACAACTCCTCTTCTCCCGCGGCCCTTCCTGGCTCCCCCCCCCCCCTAACCAGTATATAAGTTCGTACCTCTTGGGACTTCTCTCCACTTGATACAGATTTTTTTCTGTGACAGTTTCACCTGAAGACGGAAGCTTGCGTTGCCTCCGAAACGTCGTGATTTTATTGTTTTTATTTTAATTAATTTTCAATTCATTTTTTACCTACATGGTGACTTTACCGAACAAACTAAGAGTCAGAAAAAGTGTGTTGACCAGTGTTATCCGTTCTTTCTCCAATAAAAACGAACGGTCCCAAATTAAGTGTTCACATTTTTCGATTTAAAGCTGTTCGTGACTGCAGGGATTCATCTTCTTGGTTCTTTCGGTAAAGTCACGTAGAAGGGAAGTAATAAAATAATAAAAATTAAACATAAAAAAATAATTCTCACGACGTTTCAGCCACAACGCAAGCAGCCGTCTTCAGGTGACTTTACCGAAAGAACCAAGAAGATGATAATTGTTTTTTTACCCTTCTATCTGGCAACAAAACTGACACCTTTTAACAAGGAGTCATGTTTGCATAGACCACAATACCTGCAGTCATAATACAAACAAAAGACATGACTCTGATAATGTGCACTGTCCTTGAAGTTGATTGGTCCATACCCGAGACAGCTTTTCTTAGAGCCTAGTCTCACATGGGTTGGACCAGATGACGCCAAAAGGCGCACAACTCAAAGACAATGCACCATCAGAGTATGAGAGCTCGGGGTAAGCATTTACACCATTGGAACCTCATTTGACAGTAACAAATATGATAATTGTTTTTTTACCCTTCTATCTGGCAACAAAACTGACACCTTTTCATCTGGTCCAACCCATGTGAGACTAGGCTCTAAGGAAAGCTGTCTCGGGTGTGGACCAATCAACTTCAAGGACAGTGCACATTATCAGAGTCATGTCTTTTGTTTGCATTATGACTGCAGGTATTGCGGTCTATGCAAACATGACTCCTTGTAAAAAAAGGCGTCAGTTTTGTTGCCAGATAGAAGAGTAAATACACAATCATCATATTTTTACTGGCAAATGAGGTTCCCATGGAACCAAGAAGATGTTCACGTTTTTGCTTCGAGGCACCCTTCCACAGCGGCGGTGTGGCCGCCCACCTGTATGGTGGTGTTGCCGCCCTCGAGCAACGCGATGCCGAGGAGGATGGTTTCGTGGAAGACCCGGTCGCTGGCGGCGCCCATGATGAGGTCGATGACCAGGTCGGCCGCCCCCTCCCTCTCCAGGTGGCACTGCACCTCCACTAGCGTCATGTCGGCGCGCCGGTGCTGCTGCTGCTGCTGCAGGTGATGCTCCTGCAGCGCTGCCACCGCGCCTAGGCCTGGTGGGGTGGGGGGGGGTGGGGGGCAGCGGTGAGGGGGGCGGCCACAACGGCCGCCACGGTGGCCACGGCGGTTGACAATCGAGGAGGGAGGGAGGGAGACAAAGAGGGAGCGAGATGAGGGAGGGAGGCAGGGAAGGAGGGGGAGGGAGGGACGGTGAAGGTCACGGCGAGCTGGGGGAGACTGCTCGCCTGAGGATCGCGCGACGACACAATGCGTCAAACGGTGTGACACGGAAAACACGCACGCACACGCACACACACGCACACGCACACACGCGCACAAACACGCACACGCACAAAAATAAAGACAAAGATCCCCCGTATAGCCTTAACAGACTGTAGGGGCAAGTGCTGTTAGCGAGCACCTATGAAGGCCGGAACGGTACACGAGGGGGTGGGTGGCCAGCACCACGCCCGACCGCCTTTGTCTCCCCAGTGGCGATGTTTACACACCGCACCAGGTACTCATTTAAGGCTGAGTCGACCTAGGGGAGGCCCAGAACCGGTTCAGATAATCGTCACTGGTGTTAGCCATGAGCGGGAATCGAACCCGGGTCGCCAGGTTCATAGCGCAGCGCGCTAACCGCTACACTACCGCTCCCAACAAACACGCACACGCACACACACGCACACACACGCACACACACACGCACACACACACGCACGCACACGCACACACACGCACACACATGCACACATGCGCACAAACACGCACACGCACACACACGCACACAAACGGACACATGCGCACACACGCACATACACGCACGGGCAAATGGGCGCACATGCGCGAACACACTGTCACAGATCACACGCCAGCATGCTCTCTCTCTCTCACAAACACGTGCACACACACTCACTAACACGCAACAAATAGACAAACGCGGCACACTACACAACACCGGCCGCCGTGCGTCCCGCCAGATGCACTACGAGGACATCACGTGACGCGCCGAAGGTTCGCTGGCGGGGAGGTCACGGGACAGACCCAGCAGGTGCCGTGGGCTGACTGACCGAGATGACCGGCAGATGCACCACCCGTGCCTCCCACTGTGCCAACTCGCTGTGTTTTAGCCGCCCGGCGCTCCGCTCGTTGTTATGAGCGTCGCTACCCGGCCTCCATTTTTGTTGGAGGGACGACTGCCTTTAACTGCCCAGTAGCGTCCTTCACGAGCCTCCTCCACAGAGGCCGATCTTGACACCGCTGGTACCAGTCATCGGCAAGTCCACTCAGCTCCACGTCCTCCTGTACCACGTCACTCCATCTCTTCTCTCGCCCGTGCCGTGCCCATTTAGCCCCCTCTATCCAGCCAAACAGAACCTGTTTGGACATGCGGTAGCTGGACGTGCAGGCTACATGACCCAGCCAACGCAGCTTTGCCTGCCGGAGCAGCCCACCGATGATGGAGACCGCGTCCAGATCTTTCAAAGGACCTGTGAACTCCGTACACTGTATTCTAGCCTGCAGCTTAAACCCAGGATGGATGGCAGGCACGTTCTCCGCACCGTCAATTGGCCCAGTTGGCTACGTACGGTGCAAAAGAAGTTCAACATACAAACACTATTACATTCACCCACTCACTCACTCTCCCACTCACCCACTCACAGTCGGCTACGTACAGCCCGAAATAAGTTCAACATACACACATACACTCACCCACCCACTCATTGACCCACTCACCCACTCACTCACCCACTCACCCACTCACGGTTGGCTACGCACAGCCTGAAAGAAGTTCTACATACATACACTCTCCCACTCACGCACCCACCCACTCACCCACTCACGGTTGTCTACATACAGTCCGAAAAAAATTAAATATACATACACTCACCCACTCACTCACCCACCCACTCACCCACCCACTCTCCCACTCACTCTCCCACCCACTCACCCAATCACGGTTGGCTACGTACGGTCCGAAAGAATCTCAACCACGGGCACACACGTTTCTTCACCGCCACGGCCCCCCACTCCGACACATCCCAACGCAGCGGCGCTCAGCAGGGGGACTCACCTGTCACGTGCGGCGGGGTGGGGCGGCTCGCGGCGGCGACGGCGGCGGCGGCGGAGAGCGGCCCGTTCACGTAGTAGGCCATGCTGGCGCGGCGAGCGAGGCCGCCCCCCGCGCCGCTGGCGCTGCCGTAGTAGCGGTTGAGCAGCGTCTGTCTCAGCGCCTCTCCCTGCTCACGCGGCGGTGACAACGGTAGCAGCAATGACCATAGTGGCAATAACAACAATCTTCTTGGTTCTTTCGGTAAAGTCACGTAGAAGAGAAATAATAAAATAATAAAAATGAAACATAATAAAATACTATTCTCACGACGTTTCGGCCACAACGCAAGCAGCCGTCCTCAGGTGAAGACCAGGTCTGTCGGGGAGACAGCGTCTGAATTTCAGACGCTTCTACGTGACTTTACCGAAAGAACCAAGAAGATGAATCCCTGCAGTCACGAAAGCTTTAAATCGAAAAATAACAACAATATCGATAATAACAACGGTAATAGCAACAACTATAATAATAACAACAATGATAACAATAACAGCAGTGACAACAATAACAATAGTAACAGTACAAATAATACCAATAATAACACTAATAACAATAACAACAATACTAACAATAACAACAATCGTCTTGGTTCTTTCGGTAAAGTCACGTAAAAGGGAAATAATAAAAATAAAACATTAAATATTTTATTATTTCCCTTCTACGTGACTTTACCGAAAGAACCAAGAAGATGAATCCCTGCAGTCACGAAAGCTGTAAATCGAAAAATAACAACAATAACAACAACGCCAACAACAATATCAACAATAACGGCAGTAACAACGATAACGACCGTCGTTGTTTTAATTTGCAACGCGCCACCGCCGCCACTGCCACTGCCGTCGCACCCGGGTCTGTCCCGTGACCTCCTTGCCAGTGAACTTTTGACGCTCCGAATGTATACGTGCGTGTGTGTGTATGTGCGCATGCTGAACTTCTTTCGCGCCGTACGCAAGCCTACCGTGGTAATCGGAGGTGCGGGTTCAATTTCGGACAACGGTTAACATCGGAGGAGATTGACTGCAACCGGTCCTGAGCCACTGCGAGGTCGACTCAGCCTAAAACGAGTGCCTGGCTGCAGTGTGTAAGAGCATCATCGGCGGGGAGACAGGGGCGGCATGTGTTGACTCTCGCAGGCGCTCGCTCACAGCGCTTGCTCCGACGGCTTGCGTAGGCTACACGGGGGATCTTTACCTTCATCCGTGTGTTTGTGGTGTACGTGTGCGCGCTGAGACAAAAATTTCCGTTTGTTGATGCGATATTTATGGTCTTTAATTTTCATTTCCTCCCATCAAACTCGATGTTCCTTGCTATGTACGTTGAACTTCTTTCGCGCCGTACGTAGCCAACCGTGCTAATCGGAGGTGCGGGGGAAGGACAACAAAAAGCAGTTCTAAAGCAGTTTTAAAAGTGCATTGCTCGAGTGGCATCCTAATATCGGAAGAGCGTTCCAGACGGCCGCAGAAGCGCATCTGAAAGCGCCGCGCGATGCGGTGATCACCGTCTTTGTTCGATGCTTAGCCAACAGCCGCCGCTGCGAGGATGACCGGAGTTCGCGTGATGCTTTATGCTCCTTGTGTCAAGCACTTTGCGTGTCATGAGTGCGGCCTCATTACGTATTCGTTCGATCGCCGCAAATCCAGCGCAAGCTTGGCGAGCACCGGACGGACGCCGTGGTCGGATCTTGGAGTACCCAGTCACGACACCTGCCTGAGGACGGCTGCTTGCGTTGTGGCCGAAACGTCGTGAGAATTATTTTATTATGTTTTATTTTGTTATTTTATTATTTCCATTCTACGTGACTTTACCGAAAGAACCAAGAAGATGAATCCCTGCAGTCACGAAAGCTTTAAATCGAAACCTGCCAAAGACCTCGAGTGGCTTCCAAAAGGGAGGCTTCAGTTGGGCACATTTGCGGCGGATGTTTTTATCGGATTTTGGCCGATGGTGGGGGGGTGAGGGGGGGCGAGCGGAGTTTCGTTTGAGATGTGAGATTCCCATAATCAATTAACTGATGTGAGGAGGCCCGGTGGCTCAAGAGCCTTGAGATGGTACCACCATCAGCCGCCTCCGATTAAAACCGGCTTCTCAAGTGGAACGCGCCTTGATGAGTTTCAGCCCGGCCACCAAATAACATACACAGAGACGCCCGTAGGCCAACACAAAGCAACTCATAGACTTACATAATGGCCCACAGACTTAGACAGAGACCCACAGAGTCATCGAGACTGAGTTGTGATTAAAACCGGGGTCTCAAGCGCCAGTGAGTTGATGGAATCAGTCCGATCGGCAATGGCTTTCACAGAGATCCATGCACTTACATAGAGATCCATAGACTTACATAGAGACCCATAGACTCACACAGAGACCCATAGGCTCACACAGACTGCGTTGTAATTAAAACCGGGGTCTCAAGCGCCAGTGAGTTGATGGAATCCGTCCGATCAGCAATGGCTTACACAGAGATCCATGCACTTACATAGAGACCCATAGACTTACATAGAGACCCATAGGCTCACACAGACTGAGTTGTAATTAAAATCGGGTTCTCAAGCGCCAGTGAGTTGATGGAATGAGTCCGATCGGCAATGACTTACACAGAGATCCATGCACTTACATAGAGACCCATAGACTCACATAGAGACCCATAGTCTCACACAGAGGTGCATAGGCTCACACAGACTGAGTTGTAATTAAAATCGGGGTCTCAAGCGCCAGTGAGTTGATGGAATAAGTCCGATCAGCAATGGCTTACACAGAGATCCATGCACTTACATAGAGACCCATATACTTACATAGAGACCCATAGACTTACATAGAGACCCATAGACTCATATAGAGACCCATAGGCTCACACAGACTGAGTTGTAATTAAAATCTGGGTCTCAAGCACCAGTGAGTTGATGGAATCAGTCCAATCAGCAATGGCTTACACAGAGATTCATGCACTTACATAGAGACCCATCGACTTACATAGAGACCCATAGACTCATATAGAGACCCATAGGCTCACACAGACTGAGTTGTAATTAAAATCGGGTTCTCAAGCGCCAGTGAGTTGATGGAATGAGTCCGATCGGCAATGACTTACACAGAGATCCATGCACTTACATAGAGACCCATAGACTCACATAGAGACCCATAGACTTACACAGAGACCCATAGACTTGCATAGAGACCCATAGACTTACATAGAGACCCATAGACTCACACAGAGACCCATAGACTTACATAGAAACCCATAGACTTACATAGAGACCCATAGACTTACATAGAGACCCATAGACTTACATAGAGACCCATAGACTCACACAAGGTGCATAGGCTCACACAGACTGAGTTGTAATTAAAATCGGGTTCTCAAGCGCCAGTGAGTTGATGGAATCAGTCCGATCGGCAATGACTTACACAGAGATCCATGCACTTATATAGAGACCTATAGACTTACATAGAGACCCATAGACTTACATAGAGACCCATAGACTCACACAGAGGTGCATAGACTCACACAGACTGAGTTGTAATTAAAATCGAGTTCTCACATTCATCAACAACACCGTGGGGAATACACCTCTGAGAGGCGACGTTTCAGGCAATGACCCTTTGTCAGTTACGCGCTATGAAGCATCATAGCACGTCGCCTATCATATATATATATTTCCTGTTTAAGACTGCACTGTAATTGACACACGCGTTGAGTTTTACGCAATTATAGATTTTTTTTCTCCGCCTCATGACAGGATGCCGATAGCACAATCAAAATATACACTGGGGGAATAACGCGTACACATATATATTTATATTTTGGACCAGGCACGAAAAATTGTGGATCGAAGCTCAGTTGCAACAGAAAGTCTTACTCTCTCTGTCTGCATTGTGTGAGAGAGAGAGAGATTAAGACGTGGAGTCGAGAACGCACGCTGGTAAAACATTAAAACCATACTTGTTCATGGGACCTCCTTTGCCAGTACCAAAATATACTAATAGGAGTTTTCCCCCTATTTTCTGGCAACAAAACTGACACCTTTTGCACGGAATCATGTCTACATTAACCGCACTACTTGCAGTCAAATGCAAACAAAAACACAATACTCTGGTAATTTATGCATTGTCTTTGAAACTGATTGGTCCACACCAGAGACAGCTTTCTTTGGAGCCTCGTCTCATATGGTGTTCGACCAAAAGGTGTCATCTGGTCGAACCCCATATGAGACGAGGCTCCAAAGAAAGCTGTCTCTGGTGTGGACCAATCAGTTTCAAGGACAATGCATAAATTATCAGAGTATTGTTTTTTGTTTGCATTTGACTGCAAGTATTGCGGTTAATGTAGACATGATTCCTTGCAAAAGGTGTCAGTTTTGTTGCCAGAAAAGGGGAAAAACCCTATTGGTACCATACTTGTTTTTGTACTCTTAGGTTTTTTCGATAAAGTCACGTAGGTAATATAATAATAATAATAAAATAAAATGACAATAAATGAAAATAACTCAATTAAATCACGACGTTTCGGAGGCAACACAAGTCTATGAATCCTTGCAGTCACGAAAGAGTATGAATCCTTGCAGTCACGAAAGCTTCAAATCTAGGATCGAAGCTCAGTTGCAACTGAAAGTCTTTCTCTCTGTCTGCATTGTGTGAGAGAGAGAGAGTAAGACGTGGAGTCGAGAACGCACGCTGGTAAAACATTAAAACTATACTTGTTTTTATACTCTTAGGTTTTTTTGGTAAAGTCACGTAGGAAAAATAATAATAATAAAATAAAATGATAATAAATGAAAATAACTCAATTAAATCACGACGTTTCGGAGGCAACACAAGTCTCCGTCTTCGAAACGTCGTGATTTAATTGAGTTATTTTCATTTATTATTATTTTATTTTATTATTACTTTTTTACCTACGTGACTTTAAAGAAAAAACCTAAGAGTACGAATCCTTGCAGTCACAAAAGCTTCAAATCTAGAATTATACTTTTTTTTACCAGGTAAGGCCCACCGAGCTACGTGGCTCTCATTCAGAAGCGACCTGGTCGTCACGAATGAACGATCAACGAAGCTGGCTTATCACAACGTGGACATTTATATCAGCCAAATGCTCTAAACGCGTGACGTTGAGCCTAAATGTGGAGGGAAAAACTGGAGGAGCGGGAGAAAAATCCACGCGACCACGGGGAGAGGAACACGCAAACTCCAGGCGTCAGGGTCGGGATCGAACCCACGACCTCCGGTATACCAGGCAAGGTAGGTAACATCTCCCTGCCAGCGTGGCGCCACAAGCAGCTGCTGGAAGGAAATTGAATGATTCGTACAAATATGGGCTTGGGCTGGATGTGTCGCGAGAATCCATGCGCATTATTTTTTGTTAGTAATAGGTTTTTACCCTTTCAACTGGTACAAAAACTGACACCTTTATACAAGGCATCATGTTTGCAATAACCACAACACAAGCAGTCAAAATGCAAAGGAGGTCTCATGGTGTAGTTGCTTACCCCGAGCTCTCAATGCTCTGATGGTGCGCTGTTTTTGAGTCGTACGCCTTTTGGCGTCATCTGGTCCAACACCAATGGAGACTAGGCTCTAAGAAAAGCTGTCTCGGGTGTGGACCAATCAACTTCAAGGACAATGCATATCATTATCATCATCAGAGTTGTTTCTCTTTGTTTGCATTTTGACTGCTTGTGTTGTGGTTATTGCAAACATGATGCCTTGTATAAAGGTGTCAGTTTTTGTGCCAGTTGAAAGGGTAAAAACCTATTACTATATTTTGCCACTGGTAAAGGAGGTCTCATGGTGTTATTTTTTGTTGTTGATGATGACGACGACGACGACGTCAACGACGACGACGGAGAGAGAATTTCGCCGGGCGGGTTACCTTTTCACCGTAGACCCGGTCCTTGGCCAGCATCTCCCGCAGAGTCTGGAGCACCTTGATGCACAGCTTCTCCTCGTTCTCCTCCAGCAGCTGCTTGGTGTGACGAATCAGCCTGCACACAAGCACAAAGATAAAAGGCAAAGATCCCCCATATAGCCTTAACAGACTGTAGGGGCAAGTGCTGTTAGCGAGCACCTATGAAGGCCGGAACGGTACACGAGGGGGTGGGTGGCCAGCAACTCGCCCGACCGCCTTTGTCTCCCTAGTGGCGATGTTTACACCCTGCACCAGGTATTTATTTGAGGCTGAGTCGACCTAGGGGAGGCCCAGGACCAGTTCAAATAATCGTCACTGATGTTAGCTGTGAGCGAGAATTGAACCCGTGTCGCCGGGTTCATAGCGCAGCGCGCTAACCGCTACACTATCGCTCAAGCACACACACACACGCACACACACACACACACGCACACACACACACACGCACACACACACACACACGCACGCACGCGCGCACAAAGACAAAAGATCCCCCCCCCCCATGTAGCCTTCAACGGAGCGTTAGGCCTAGTGCTGTTAGCGAGCGTCTATTTAGGCCGGCAAGGCGCACGAGGCAGGTGGATGGAAAGCAACGTGCCCAGCCGCCTTTGTCTCACCCACGCTGAAGTTAGCACTCCGCACCAGATACTCATTCAAGTATGAGTCGACCTAGTGAGAGGCCGAGGGTTGGTTCAGATATTCCCCACTGACGTTAAGCAGTGGCGGTGGTGGTGGCGGTGGTGGTGGCGGTGTTCATGGCGTTCATGGCGTTGATGGCGGTGGTGGTCGTGGTGGTCGTGACCGTGGCGGTGGTGGTGGCGATAGCGGTGGTGGCGGTGGTGGTGGTGGTGGTGGCGGTGTTCATGGCGTTGATGGCGGTGCTGGTCGTGGTGGTCGTGACCGTGGCGGTGGTGGTGGCGGCAGCGGTGGTGGTGGTCGAGGTGGTGGTGGTGGTGGTGGTGGTGGTGGCGGTGTTCATGGCGTTGATGGCGGTGCTGGTCGTGGTGGTCGTGACCATGGCGGTGGTGGTGGCGGCAGTGGTGTTGGTGGTCGAGGTGGTCGTGGTGGCAGTGGTGGTGGCAGTGGCGATGGCGGTGGTCATGTTGGTGGTGGCGGCAGCGGTGGTGGTGGTCGAGGTGGTGGTGGCGGTGGTGGTGGCGGTATTCATGGCGTTGATGGCGGTGCTGTTCGTGGTAGTCGTGAACGTGGCGGTGGTGGTGGTGGTGGCGACGGCGGTGGTGGTGGTCGTGGTGTTCGTGGTGGTGGCGGTGGTGGTGTTGGTGGTGGTGGTGGCGGTCACCTGCTGATAAATCCGCCGCTCTCACATTTCTGCCGGACGTCCGTTCCTTCCGGGAAGAGCATTTCCGGCCGGTGGAGGACGTCCACCAGGACGGACAACTCCGCCTGCACCAGCGGCCTCAGCTGCTCTTCCAGCGTCGCCACGATGTCCTTCCGGCAGGATAATAAACAAAAACTTTCAAAAAATCTACATTGCAAGGGGGAGGGGGTTGGAATTTCGCTCGTCCGTCAAACGCGAGCGAGCGTGTCTGTCTGTCTGTCTGTCGGGCGGTCACGGCGGTACGGGTGACTCGCGTTCATGTTCGCGGCGCAAAGGTGAATCAGGACTCGTTGTGACCAGAAGGAATGGTGGCGATGATGAGCTCTGTGTGACCTTTGACCCACGCCAATGAAACCCTGACTCGTGATTGCCACCACGATTATCCTGTGGGGGCGATTACATTTTTTAAATTAAATTCAATAAAAGTTTCTTTCCATTCCGCTGAGGGTTGGGGGAAAATGTAGTGCAGGCCACATCTTGGGAAAAGACGTGGAGACCGAGTGAGGCTTCGGGGGAGATTGTAAGAAGACACACAAACAAAGACAAAGAACCCCCGTATAGCCTTTAACAGACTGTTGGGCAAGTGCTGTTAGCGAGCACCTATGAGACACACACACCACACACACACAAATGTCGATGCAGCATTTTCATTTGGTGGACAATTACCATTGGGATGCAAGGTCACATGGATTTTTAGATTTAAAGCTTTCGTGACTGCAGGGATTCATCTGCTTGGTTCTTTCGGTAAAGTCACGTAGAATGGAAATAATAAAATGATGAATGAGACGCTGTCTTCCCGACAGACCTGTTCTTCACCTGAGGACGGCTGCTTGCGTTGTGGCCGAAACGTCGTGAGAATTATTTTATGTTAAATTTTTATTATTTTATTATTTCCATTCTACGTGACTTTACCGAAAGAACCAAGAAGAGGTCACATGGAGTTGAGACGGTGGGGACACACGCGGGTGCATCGTGGCGTAGTGGATACTCGCTGGCCAAGTTTAAATATCCGCCACAGAGATGCATGGTGGGTATACAGAACATGCAGATGACACACATGGGGAGCGACACACACAAAACGACAAAGATCCCCCATATAGCCTGTCACAGACTGTTGAGGTAAGTGCTGTTAGCGAGCACCTATGAAGGATGGAATGGCACACGAGAGAGTGGGTAGCCAACAACACGTCCGGTCGCCTTTGTCTCCCTTGTTGCAATGTTTACACACTGCACCAGGTACATTCATTTGAGTGGTGTACCCAGAACCGATTCAGATCATCATCACTGGTGTTGGCCATGAGCGGGAATCGAACTCGGGTCGCCGGGTTCACAGCGCTCCCCGCTAACCGCTACACTACCGGAACAACACACGCACACGGGGAACGACACGCACGCGCACGTGCGCACGCACGTGCACGTGCACACGCAAGCACGCAGGGGAACCGGGACAACACCTGCAGCCTCTCGATGATGTGTCGGTAGTCGAGCGAGAGGCCCGACATGGACTCTCTCCGCGCGAGGTTGCGGGCGCTCATCCTCCAGTTGAGCGCCGTCTTCTGGATGAGGTGCGAGTGCGGCTTGAGGAACAGCGAGTTCACCTGGCTGTCCAGGTCCACGGGGATCGCAATGGATCGGCTCTTCGCTGGGGGCGGCGTCGGCGGTGGGGGGGCGGGGGTTGCGGAGGTGAGCGGAGGGAAGACAGTTCGAGGAGGTTCGGCAGGTTTGTGAGCGCGAGGATCGAGGCGGCATAGGAAGGTAAAGCGGTCGGGAAGTTTGGTTTTCCGAACGTTTTTGTCGAACGCCGGGTAGAAAGCGCTGACGGAGAGCGACGCCGCAACTCGTCATATAACCCTTTCAAGTGGCGGGGCATCTGCAAGTTGCAGGGTGGGAGTCCCGTTGACCTCTGAATCTCGGGACGGGCAAGCGGCTTAGCATTAATTTTACTCTCGCGACACGACTGCCCTCTACGGTAGCTGGCGCCAAACTGCACCACACGCCCTCCTGCATGGGCTTGTCGGAGCCTCGGTACCGATGAAGTTATTATATTTTCGTTTTCCTGCCGGTTTCGTTTGGGTGACGAACACGTACGCTATCGGAACGGAACCGGACAAAAAGCCGATGACGTACCGTTACATCGTCGGAACGGGAAAGGGTTAAATAAATTATATTTCGTAATTTTTCTTAATAACCAGCGGGTGAAACCCTCATGCAGTGGCTGCGCTAGGCACAAGCAAACCAAGGGAATGGCTTTGATGCCCCAAGCAGCTTAGGGGGTCCGTGCGTGTCACTGTATCGACACCGATCGCCAGCTTTTGGGTTGGCATCTTACTTTCCGAAGCATCGTTTAATCCGGTGGGGGGGGGGGGGGGGGGGGGGGGATACGGCAATTGGCTCCCGTTAAGCGCGTCGCTTACCGACGTCCGACAGCGTCTTGATGCAGGTCTCCACGGACGCCTTCTGAGCGAGCGAAGGCCAGGGGCAGTGGTAAACGCGGAAGGCGCCCTGCAGCAGCTGCACGAAGATCGGCTGGCGAGCCTGACGCACGTACGCACAGGCAAAGTTCCTCCTCACACGTATAGCCTCGACGGACTGTCGGGGCAAGTGCTGTTTAGCGAGCGAGCACCCACGAAGGCCGGCACGGCGCACGACGGGGTGGGTGGTCGGCACTGCGCCCGGCCAACTTTGTTGACCTAGTGGAGGCCCAGGATCGGTGCAGATGATCGTCACCGGTGTTGGTTGCCGCGAGCAAAAATCGAACTCGTGCCGCCAGGTTCGTAGCGCGGCGCGCTGGCCCCAAAGCACAGGCACGCAGACGGAGAGACAAGCGGGGGGAGAGAGAGTGGCGGGGACAGACGGAGGGAACGACGTCCTCACCTGGAGGTTGGTGCTCTGGTCGGAGAAGGGCGAGCTGAAGAAGGTGGTGATGACGTTGGTCACCGTCTCCGTGACGTACTTCTCCAGCACCGTGTCCGCGTGCTTGCGGTCCGTCGTCGTGTTGCAGACCTGCGCGACGCGGGGGGGCGACGAGACGGGGGGTACCCGGGGGACGTGGAGACGGGGAGACAGGAAGAAAGAACAGGGAACGAGGTGGAGGGAGGGAGATGGGGATAAATTCTAGTTTTCCACTCTTAAATGAGTTCTGAAAGGCATGTGAATTCGGAATGGGTCGAATCAGAGCTGGGAGGGAAAAGCGGGAAGGGAGGAGTGGGGAGAGAGGAGCGGGGAGGGACCCGACCCTCCGTACCCGGCTGATGTCCACCAGGAAGCTCTCGAACATCTTCCACATGTGGTTGCTCGTGTAGATCTCCTTCATCTCCACCTCCGTGTCCACATAGCAGTGGTTCAGGAAGTTGATGTAGGAAATCTTCACCTGTGACAACAGAGCAAAGGCATGCCCGTGTATGTAATTGGGCCGTTCGACGGTAGCCGGCGAAACTCGGAGAGATACATTTTCAGAATCGATTACCGGTTCTGAGAGTCAGGTGCCGGTAACCGATTCCGGTTGCACTTTGGTCACGCACCGATGGAAACTTGCACCGCGTGTGAGCACTGTGTGCCTCCCGACACGGTCCCTGAAAGGCTTCCTCCGCCTCGGGCGGCTAAATAATTTTCGGGCGGCTCACCCCGGGACACATGGAGCCGTCAGCCCCACCCACTTTCACAGAGCAGCCACGCACACAACAACTACAACAACAACAACAACAATCGCTGTTCGCCAAGTGGCGGTGACGTCACCACGGCGCTCGTGCCACGTGTCGAAGGCCCGTTACTAGCAGGTCACAGACAGACACAGGTGCCACGGGTCAACTCTCTGCACTTCAGGCGCTCCGCTCATTGTTGTTGTGAGCGTCACTCTTCTGCCCTCCGGGGGGGGGTCGCGAGGGGGGAGGGTCATGTGGGAGGGGGGGGGAGTGCGGTGGGGGGGACACGGCCGGCAGGGGGCTCACCTCGGGGATGCAATCGTCGTGCGTGACGACGCGGGCGATGTCCTCGAGCGGGAGCAGCGAGTTGCACTTGATCTCCGTGTAGACGTTCTTGCCCTCAGTGCAGGCGGCGAGCAGCTCGACGAGGGTCACGTGGTACGCGAGGGCTCCGTCGCCGTCCGAGCGCTCGCGCTCCGAGCGCATCATGGACACGAGCGCCTGGAAGGAGGCGCGGTCCGTGTAGAACACGAGCACCTCCTCGCCGCCGTTCAGCAGCTGCGGCGGGAGGCGGGCGGGCGGCGTGAGAAAGAGCTTTGCGGCTCGAGGATTGATCCGGTGGGGATCGATGTTTACGATGATTCGGTCGGGCAACACGACCGAGCGGAGCAGCTGCTGCGATCGGCACGGTTGTGATCAACTCGGTCGCGTGCAACTGAATAGCTCGTGTGTTGCGATCGACTTGTTCGCGTGCAACTGAGTCGCTTCGTGTGTCGCGATCAACTCGGTCGCGTGCAACCGAGTAACCGAGTGTGCTGCGATCGAGTTGCAAGCGTGCAACTGAATAGCTCGTGTGTTGCGATCAACTTGGTTGCCTGCAACTGAATAGCTCGTACGTTGTGATCAACGTGGTTGCATGCAACTGAATAGCTCGTGTGTTGCGAGCAGTCGCGCCACTTTGGTCCCGCGCGAACCGAACTGCTCTGGACACGCGGGACGCAGGCAAAACCGGCGTCGCCCGCGGCGAGAGACGGCCGAACCAAACGCGCTCCGCCGCGTCGACGCCGCCGACGGCCGCCCCTTTCTTCTTGGTTCTTTCAGACGCTGTCTCCCCGACAGACCTGGTCTTCACCTGAGGACGGCTGCTTGCGTTGTGGCCGAAACGTCGTGAGAATTATTTTATTATGTTGTGTTTTTATTATTTTATTACTTCCCTTCTACGTGACTTTACCGAAAGAACCAAGAAGATGAATCCCTGCAGTCACGAAAGCTTTAAATCGAAATATGGCCGCCCCTTTGCCGTGGGCGAGCTCTCACCTCGGCCATCACCATGTCCTGGCACTTCTTGCTGTACTTGCCCTCGGAGCGCACGATGGTCTGCAGGAAGCGCAGATACTGCACGTGGCGGCCGTGCGTCTCGATGCAGTGCACAAAGTGCTGCACCACGCGCTCCGTCACTTCGCTGCACAGCTGCGCGTTGTTCATGAAGATGTGCTGCATCGTCAGGGCCTCCAGCAGCTGCGATGAGGAGGATGAGGAAGGTGGGGGAGGGGGGAGCAGGAGGCGTATCGTACAGACATCAATTGCAGCCAAATTACGCTGTATATATTAACATGTTTTCATGCAAATAGCGAGCATTTCCTTTTCAAACGTGGGAAATCCAGGCATGCGAGGGGGGGCAACGCTCTATCCCAACAGTCTATCCCATCACAAGGAAGGGTACAGAGGACATCAGTCCACACTCTGCAGCTGCACTGCATTCTCCTGGCGAGCCAGGGCATTGCAACCTCCTCGGCGCCCACGGGAAGTGAGTGTCGCCAACGCCTTGTCACGTGAGTGCGCGGCGATCCACCAAAACCCCTCGCTGCCGCTGAGTTCATCACAGGCAGTGCGCGCGGGGACCTCAACACAACGAATCGGTTCGGCATCGCTCGCAAAGGCAGCGCGACCCCTATCGTGCCGGGCAACGGTCAGCGGAAGTGGATATCCCGGGGCTGCGTCAGAGGCGGCGTTCCTCGAGCTACCTCGCTCACGAATCTTTCCAGGTAAAGAAGAGAGATTAGAATCAGAAAATGTATTGATACTGGGGGAGGAATCTGATCAGCTATACAACTCTTGCCCAAAACTCGGACAACAATGCAAAAACACGATAGGAGTGCAAAGTGTAGGGAAGGTAAACACGTCACTTTAAAAAAATACACAAACGAAACTAAACTGTCTGTTAAAACTAAACTATTTTGTTGAATCTTTCCAGGTAAAGCCCACTGACCTCTTGGCATATTTGTCAGAAGCGACCTGGAGAAGAGGTGGACAGATTTCACTGCCGGATTTCACTCTTTTTTATTAATTTTATTTTACCCATAATGCTTCAGCGACATTAGAAGCCACCACCCCTCACGACCCCTTCCTCCAGCGACCTCGTTCACGGGAGAGGAGGGCGGCTTTTTTTTTTTGTTTTTACTCACTGCACTGAACCCGGCTCAAACGCAGCCTCATTGTTTCTGCTCATCGCCCGGTTCCTTCCCCCCGTGATAACCCAAACCGGTGGACCCCATCTCCAGGTCGTCGCCGTCTCTCCGCTCACCCCAGGCGTGAGGAAGAGGTGGATGTGCATGAAGAGGAGCGCCTGGTTCTGCTGGTTGCCCGCGCAGAAGTTCTGCAGGAACTCGTGGGCGAGCTGCATGATGGCCTGCATTCGCGTGTCCTCGTTCTGCGACCGCCGCACCGCCAGGGAAGGGGACACGTCACGACGTGATCGTGAATAATAGTGGACGGGGGGGGGGAAGAGCAGCCGGATGGGGGCTGCCACGGTGGTGCGATTACAATAAAAGCATCCAATTCAACTTGTGACGCACGCGCCGCAAGGGAGTAATAGCGAAAGTGCAATTCGGTTGCGCGCAGGATGCGCCGGGGACGTAATTGGCCGTGACTCTGCGGTGCGCAGCCAAGCTCAGTGTCGCTCCAAAGCTGGGGCGGAAGAGGTGGGGGCCTTTAAGAAAGCAACCCTCTCTCCACTGCGCCCACAGAGCTGCACTGCTAGGCCGTGCGCAGCGTAGCCACCGCCCGGTTAGCAACGCCGCACTTGCGATCCACAGAGTCGCCGGTTCGATTCCACCTCCCGGAGTGGCAAGTGAAAGTCCGGTGCGAGTTTCTTTAAAAATACCCCCCCACCCCACCCCCAGTCTCCGAGCGAGCGCATGAGTGAGCAGGCGAGCACGTGAGCTGGTAAGCTGATAAGCGTGCGAGTGGGTGAGCGGGTGAGCGGGTGAGCGGGTGAGCTGGTAAGCGTGTGAGCGGGTGAGCGGGTGAGCTGGTAAGGGTGTGAGCGGGTGAGCGGGTGAGCTGGTAAGAGGGCAAGCGGGTGAGCTGGTAAGCGTGCAAGCGGGTGAGCGGGTGAGCGTGTGAGCTGGTAAGCGTGCGAGCGGGTGAGCGGGCGAGAGGGGGAGCTGGAAGCAAGCAGGTGGGTGAGCTGGTAAGCGTGTAAGCTGGTAAGCGGGCGAGCGGGCGAGCGGGCGAGCGGGTGAGCGGGTGAGCTGGTAAGCGGGCGAGCGGGCGAGCGGGTGAGCGGGTGAGCTGGTAAGCGGGTGAGCTGGTGAGCGGGTGAGCCGGTAAGCGGGCGAGTGGGTGAGCTGGTAAGCAAGCGGCTGGGTGAGCAAGCGAGGGTTCGAGTGAGAGAGAGTACGAGCGGGGGCGGTCTAGCGGGTGACTATCGCCCCCCCCCCAGACCCAGGCCCCGCCCCCCCCACCTTCTCGTAGGGGATCTGCAGCAGCTCCAGCACGACCACGTGGGCCCCCATGTTCCTCAGCAGGCGCTGCTGCTGCTTGCGCGTGCGGCGCCCAAACGCTCCCTCCTGCACGCAGAGTCGGCTTAGCCGCACCAGGATCTACACGGGGGGGGGGGGGGGGGCGGGGGGGGAGGAAGGGAGGGGGGCGGGGGGGGGGAGGATGAGTAAGGGGAGGATGGAGAGAGTAGGGGGGGGAGGAGTTAGAGGAGAGATGGGAACGAGTAGGAGGAGAGATGAGGAGGTGACGAAGAAAGAGGAGTGAGTGGCGGAAGAGAAAAAGCAGGGGGAGAAGGGTGAGAGGAGGAGTGAGATGATGAAGAGGAGGGTGGAGGAGGAAGAGGAGTGATCAGTAGGAGAAGAGAGATTAGAATCAGAATATTTATTGATACTGGGGGAGGAATCTGATCAGCTATACAACTCTTGCCCACAACTCGACAACAATGCAAAAACACGATAGGAGTGCAAAGTATAGGGAAGGTAAACACGTCACTTTAAAAAAAAATACACAAACGAAACTAAACTGTCTGTTCAAACTAAACTATTTTGTTGAATGTTTCCAGGCAAAGCCCACTGACCTATTTGCTTATTTTTCAGAAGCAACCTGGAGATGAGGTGGACAGATATTCTTGGATCTTTCGGTAAAGTCACGTAGAAGGGAAATAATAAAATAATAAAACATAATAAAATTCTCACGACGTTTCGGCCACAACACAAGCAGCCGTCCTCAGGCGAAGAACAGAGCTGTCGGAAAGACAGCGTCCTAATGAACACGCTGTCTTTCCGACAGCTCTGTTCACATACAACCAACGTCAGTGGCGAGTGATACAAAATAAACTGCTCCTCATCCAGCAGCGGATCAACAGAATGCCATACACTGCGGTACTTATTATAATCAGCGAGCCATCCAAGTCCGAGACCATAATTCTAATATTTTTCTGAAATTACAATCCGATTCCAAAGAACACAGGATGAGATGTTACTATCCTTTGTGCAAGCACTTCCAAGAGTTCATGAACAGTGAGCCTGGTGAAATTTGGGGAGCGCAGCGTCAGTAGTGAACCTTTGGTTCCTAGGGTGTTTCGGCCTTTCATACTATACACCCTCCCCAAAGGCGGCCAGCGACAGGGTGATCAATCCTACGCTTGCGTCCCATTCCCAATTAGTCATAGGAGTTGCCTTGTTGTTGATAGCCAACAATTGAAAGGGGGCACGGTTTGGGCAATGTCCGTGTTGATACGCGACGTTACTAATATTGGGTTTCTGTGTTCTCGAATGTTAATGCGTGGCCGCTTGCGAGCCCGGCCTCGCGCGGGAACTGATCATCTCATAATGAGCCAGGCTGTATAATAACCCAGCCGTGACCCCCCCCCCCCCACCCACTGCTAATGCTGTGCAATTATTAATAACGCAATTACATGAAACAAAATTGGACCGATTATTTAGAGCGTGGCGAGCACATTCGCTCAATCCTCAGCGAGCCGCTCGTTGTTAGGGGAGGTGGGGGAGATGGGGGAGGTAGGGAGTGGGGGCCCTAGTGAGGCTCACTCTCCGCCAGCGAAAGGCTCTCGCCAAATTTGCAGTTGAGCCAAGTGTCCCATTGTAGCCGGGGCCACTTTTCGGTTGTGGTTGTTGTGGTTGTTGTTGTGGTTGTTGTCGACATGCAGTCAGTCACAGTTCGGCCTTCAGTATTTGTATCACAGCTCCGCCTGCGATACAGCCCCGATTGGGTCTGTTGGGTCTCCACGTGGCTCACTGGTGACCAGGGCCCAGGGACCAACGACTCAACGCCCTTAAGAAACCAGTTTGACCACAGGCGGCTGAAACCTGGATTGGCCTATTTGATGATTACGATGATGATGATAATCATCACAGGCTCATTAACCCGATGATAATTACAATGATGATTGTGACAATGATGATGACGAAAACGATGATCATCACCAACTCATTACCCGATGATGATGATAATGATCTAGGTGATTATGCCGATGATGATATTACGATGATCATCACTGGTTCATTAAGATGATCAATGATTACGACGGTAATGATAATGACGATGATGACGATGACAATAACGATTATGATCACTGGCTCCAAAACTCGATCATGATGATGATTACAATTATGTGTTGATGATGATGATAACGATAATCATCACTGGCTCATTTAATGCGATGATGATTATGATGATGATTATGACGATAACGATGATCATCGCTGGCTCACTAAGACGATGACAATGATGGTGACTGTAATAACGCTGGCGCTGTTCGTCACCTCTTGGATGGTGATGTAGTTCCTGATGCTCATGGAGTCCATCGCTGGCCCAAACTGCACGTCCATGACGACGCTTGTGGGGGGGTCCGACTGCACACACGCGAGGGCGGGGGGGTGGGGGGGGGGCGGGGGGGGTGGAGGGGGGGGTGATTCGGGTTAAGTGCGACTAAGGTGCGTCCATCTAGCGGTACCACCGTGATACTCAAACAGACATCCCGCGCATCGCCTTCATCAGACTGCGCAGGCAAGGGCTGCTAGCGAGCGCGAGAGGGAGGGGGGGGGGGTGGCCAGCACGACGCCCGGCCGCCTTTGTCTCCCCGGTACCGATCAATTACACACCGCACCAGGTACTCGTTTTAGGCCGAGTCGACCTAGCGGAGTCCCGGTTCAGGTATCCGTCAGCGTTTTAAAGGCCAATCCGCAGCAGCCGCGCGACAACGTTCGTATGAATCCGACGCGCCGTGCAAGCGCGGACCGGGAGGGCGAAAAAAAACAACGCCCGGTCCGTCGTTCCGGGCTCGGCACACCTCGGACTTTGGCCTCTTCTTCCCGGTGCCGGCGAGGTCCGGTGCGCCGTCGGCGCGTGCCGCCGACGCGGCGCCGTCGGGCGTGCCGGCGTGCGGGAAGTGTCGGCTCTTGTAGACCCAGAGCTCCGACTTCTCCACCAGCAGACGCAGCTGGTCGAGGTCGGCGCGGATCTGCTTGTAGCTCTCCACGTCCTGGCTGGTGACCAGCAGCTGCACCTGCACGGTCGTGGGTGGGGGGGGGGGGTAGAGGGGTGAGGGGGGGTCGGGGGGGGTAGAGGGGTGGGGGGTAGTGGGGTGGGGGGGGGGTAGAGGGGTAGGGGGGGTAGTGGGGGGCACGGAAAGGGGGGGGGTAGAGGGGTGGGGGGGGTAGTGGGGTGGAAGGGGGTAGAGGGGTAGGGGAGGTAGTGGGGGGCACGGGAGGGGGGGTAGAGGGGTGGAGGGGGTAGTGGGGTGGGGGGGTAGAGGGGTGGGGGGGGTAGAGGGGTGGGGGGGGTAGAGGGGTGGGGGGGGTAGTGGGGTGGGGGGGTAGAGGGGTGGGGGGGGGGTAGAGGGGTGGGGGGTAGAGGGGTGGGGGGGGTAGTGGGGGGCACGGGAGGGAGGGGGAGGGTGGGGTGGGCACGTGGCCCAGGTGAGGGAAGCGTCAGGCAAAGACCAGTATATCTACAAATACTGTTTTCTTCGTATTTATCTCAACTTGATACAGCTATCGTGCTGTGACGGTTCCACCTGAAGACGGAGGCTTGTGTTGCCTCCGAAACGTCGTGATTTTTATTTTATTTTTATTTTATTTTTTATTAATTTAAATGTTTTACCTACGTGACTTTACCGAAAAAACCTAAGAATATGAGGAAAAAGCTGACCGCCATGTGGGTTTGGCGCAGGCTGCTGCTGATGCTGCTGCTGATGCTGCTGCTGATACTGCTGATGCTGCTGATGCTGCTGCTGATGCTGCTGATGCTGCTGCTGATGCTGCTGATGCTGCTGCTGATGCTGCTGATGCTGCTGCTGATGCTGCTGATGCTGCTGCTGATGCTGCTGCTGATGCTGCTGATGCTGCTGCTGATGCTGCTGATGCTGCTGCTGATGCTGCTGATGCTGCTGCTGATGCTGCTGATGCTGCTGCTGATGCTGCTGATGCTGCTGCTGATGCTGCTGATGCTGCTGCTGATGCTGCTGATGCTGATGCGCAACTCTCCCGACACGTTTCCGTGTCGCGCCGCGTGCTTTGTTCGGCGCGACGTCCGACGTTTTGCTCCGTGTACCCGGGACCTTCTTCAGGAACTGAATGCTAAACGGGGCAGCTCCCGTCCCCTCTCAATTATAACCAGTTTCCGGCTGCCGCTGGTGGATTCATTATCAATTTTTATACATAGATTTTTTTTTACAAATCGTCGATTGCTGAGCACAGACGGCCCAAAAGACCCATTACTTAAGGGCCTAGCGACAAATCAGCTCTCACTGAAAGTCGCGAAGGGCAAGAGCCAACACACTCCTCGAACTGGGCGAGGTTATTCTCGTGAGAACTCGGGGGGGGGAGAGAGACGATGATGGGAGCAGGCGGTGGCTGAGCGCAGTGTGGGTGAGACGCAGGTGTGGGTGAGACGAGGTGGATGGGCGCTGGCCACCCAGCGCATCGTGCAACGCCTTATGAGGTCCCCCCTAGCAACACTCGATAACAACAGCCTGGTGTAGGCCACACGGGGGACCTTTGCCTATGTCCGGCCTTCGTAGGTGCTCGTCGACAGCACTTGCCCCAGCTGCACGACCGAGGCTACACGGGGGACCTTTGCCTATGTCCCGTGCGCCACGATGACCTTCATAGGTGCTCATCGATGGCACTTGCCCCCGACCGCCCGTCTGAGGCTATACGGTGGAGGGGACCTTTGCCTTTGCGAAGAGGACACCCCCCCTCCTCCTCTCTATCTCTCTCCCACCAACACGCACACACCCACACACGCACACACCCACACACGCACACACCCACTCACACACACACAAACACGCACACACCCACACGCACACACGCACACACACACACCCACACACACCCACACGCACACACGCACACACCCACACACCCACACAAAGATCCCCCGTATAGCCTTAACAGACTGTAGGGGCAAGTGCTGTTAGCGAGCACCTATGAAGGCCGGAACGGTACACGAGGGGGTGGGTGGCCAGCACCACGCCCGACCGCCTTTGTCTCCCTAGCGGCGATGTTTACACACCGCACCGGGCACTCATTTGAGGCTGAGTCGACCTAGGGGAGGCCCAGGACCGGTTCAGATAATCATCACTGGTGTTTGCCGTGAGCGGGAATCGAACCCTGGTCGCCAGATTCGTAGTGCAGCGCGCTAACCACTACACTACCGCTCCCCCTCACGCACACACACACACCCACCCACACACCCACATACCCACACACACACACACACATCCACACACACACACCCACACACGCACACACACACACACACCCACACACACACCCACACACCCACACACACCCACACACGCACACACACAAAGATCAAAGATCCCCCGTATAGCCTACAGACTGTAGGGGCAAGTGCTGTTAGCGAGCACCTATGAAGGCCGGAACGGTACACGAGGGGGTGGGTGGCCAGCACCACGCCCGACCGCCTTGGTCTCCCCAGTGCCAATGTTTACACACCGCACCAGGTACTCATTTGAGGCTGAGTCGACCTAGGGGAGGCCCGGGACCGGTTCAGATAATCGTCACTGTTGGTGTTGGCCGTGAGCGGGAATCGAACTCGTGTCGCCGGGTTCGTAGCGCAGCGCGCTAACAGCTACACTACCGCTCCCACACACCCACACACTCACACACCCACACACCCATACGCACACACACACCCACACACCCACACCCACACGCACACACACACCCCCACACACACACATACACCCACACACCCACACACACACACCCACCCACCCACACCCGCACACCCACACACACCCGCACACACCCGCACACCCACACACACCCACACACGCACACACACACGCACACACACACGCACCTGCTTGAAGGCCTGCAGAACCTCCTGGCGCTGGCTGAAGTGCTTGAAGAGGAGCTGCAACGCGCCCGAGACGAGCGGAGGGTAGTCGTGCATGGTGAGGTTGAGCAGCACCCGCAGGAACGTGCGGCCCCCGTGCCCGTCCAGGTCCAGGACGGCGCTCTCCGTGCTGCCCCCCCCCCCCCCACCGCACAGCAACAAAAGAAACGCGATCGGTGACCGCGAGATGTAATGCGAGTATTCTTAGGTTTTTCGGTAAAGTCACGTAGGTAAAACATCAAAATTAACAAAAGTAGAATAAAATAAAAATCACGACCGAAACGTTGTGACGACCGAAACGTCGTGACGACCGAAACGTCGTGATGACCGAAACGTCGTGATTTTTATTTTATTTTACTTTTGTTAATTTTGATGTTTTACCGACGTGACTTTACCGAAAAACCTAAGAATATGAATCCTTGCAGTCACGAAAGCTTCAAATCTAGAATGTAATGCGAGGTTAGAGAGGTGTCAGTCACTGCTCCGCGGGATGTTTGCGGATCGTAAGCTCGCTCGGCGCGAGTGGGTTAGTTTCATAAGAAAGGTTTTTGGGTCAGATCGCGTTATTTATGAATGTGTCGTAACCCTCCACCACCCGACACGGCCAAACAGTAAAAAAATGTGTCACGTTTTCAAAGGACGTTACACTGATTGCTGCTCTATTTAAGACTGGAAGCAACAGGAGAGCTTCACCATTCTTGCCCGATGAAGCCGATTGTAATTATGAGCGAAACGTCGTACTACTCAAATTTTAAAATGCTGTTGATTCTCTCTTCAGCACACCGGTGGGCTAAAGAAGTGAATTATTTTGTCCTTTGAAAACGTGACACACTTTTTACTGTTTGGCCGTGGCGGGTGGTGGAGGGTTATAACATATTTATAAATAACGCGATCTGACCCAAAAACCTACATTATGAATAATATTGGTCGCGAAAGCCTACGTGTGGGTTAGTTTATCTGGAAGATTTGGTCACGTGTGAGTGTGTATGTTGAACTTATACTCTTTGGCTTTTTTCGGTAAAGTCACGTAGGTAAAACAATAAATAAAATAAAATGAATGAAAACAACTAAATTAAATCACGACGTTTCGGAGGCAACACAAGCTTCCTTCATCAGGTGTAAAAAAGGGCACAGCAAAATAACTGTAGCAGTCACGAAAGCTTCAAATCTATAATTATGTTGAACTTCTTTTGCGCCGTACGTAGCCAACCGTGCTGACCAGAGCAGCGCGCTAACTGTGACACGACTGCTCCCCACACACACACAGCCAGGTCTACCAAAGACAAAGATCCCCCGTGTAGCCTGTAACAAACTGTAGGGGCAAGTGCTGTTAGCGAGCACATATGAAGGCTGGAAGCGGGGTGGGTGGCCAGGACCATGCCCGGCCGCCTTTGTCTCCCCAGTGGCAATGTTAGACACTGCACCGGGTACTCATTTGAGGCTGAGTCGACCGAGGGGAGGCCCAGAACCGGTTCAGATAATCGCCACCGGTGTTGGCCGTGAGCGGGAATCGAACTCGTGTGGCCTGGTTCATAGCGCAGCGCGCTAACCGCTGACACCACCGCTCCTCACACACACACACCGAGGTCTATACACGCGTGCACACACACATATACACACACACACATACACACACACATATACACACACACACATACACACACACATATACACACATACACACACACATACACACACACATACACACACACATATACACACGGAACTCACTTTCCCTCGAAGATGGCCTCCGCGTGCTCGTAAATCCGTTCCAGCTCCAGGCTCCCTGGAACCCAGCACAACAAAGACAAAGATCCCCCGTGTAGCCTTAACAGACTGTTGGGGCAAGTGCTGTTAGCGAGTAGCACCAATGCAGGCCGGCACGGTACACGAGGGGGTGGGTGGCCAGCACCACGCCCGACCGCCTTTGTCTCCTCAGTGGCAATGGTTACACACCGTACAAGGTACTCATTTGAGGCCGAGTCGACTTAGGGGAGAGGGCCCAGGACCGGTTCAAATAATCGCCACGGGTGTTGGCCGTGAGCGGGAATCGAACTTGGGTCGCCGGGTTCGTAGCGCAGCGCGCTAACCGCTACACTACCATTCCCCACACACGCACGCACACAGGGCGAGGACTGCGACGAGTCAGCACCCCTTCCATTCATTCAACCGGCAGCCGAATTCCAAGGTCGGACCACCGGCGTAACCGCGCTGGGGGTCGACAGGCGTCCGCTGGGGGTCGACAGGCGTCCGCCGGTGGAGCATGCCTCACCGTTCCCCGCCGACGGGGTGGTGGGGGTCGCCCCCACGCCGTCGGGGGTGACGTCACCCGAGGAGCTCCCCGAGGGGCTCCCCGAGGTGGACCCCGCCGACACGTGGCTCTCGTCGAACTCCCGCTTGAAGATGGAGAGGAGGCAGGAGATGCGGTAGTCGAGGCGCACGTTCAGGATGAACTGGGGAGACAGACGGGCGGACATGGTGACGACGGCGATGCTCACGCGGCCTGCCTGTCTGCCCGTCTGATTGCTTGTCTCTGCCTGGCTGTGATTTGCCTGCCTGTCTGTACGATTTCTGGCTGTCTGACTGGCTGTTGCTCAAAGAGCGGGACTCTAGACCACGTGACGAGTGGGGCTCTACACCACGTGATGAGTGGGGCTCTAGACCACGTGATGAGTGGGGCTCTAGACCACGTGATGAATGGGGCTCTAGACCACGTGATGAGTGGAGCTCTAGACCACGTGATGAGTGGGGCTCTAGACCACGTGACGAGTGGGGCTCTACACCACGTGATGAGTGGGGCTCTAGACCACGTGATGAGTGGGGCTCTAGACCACGTGATGAGTGGGGCTCTAGACCACGTGATGAGTGGGGCTCTAGACCACGTGATGAGTGGGGCTCTAGACCAGGTGACGAGTGGGGCTCTAGACCACGCGATGAGTGGGGCTCTAGACCACGTGATGAGTGGGGCTCTAGACCACGTGATGAGTGGGGCTCTAGACCACGTGACGAGTGGGGCTCTAGACCAGGTGACGAGTGGGGCTCTAGACCACGCGATGAGTGGGGCTCTAGACCACGTGATGAGTGGGGCTCTAGACCACGTGATGAGTGGGGCTCTAGACCACGTGATGAGTGGGGCTCTAGACCAGGTGACGAGTGGGGCTCTAGACCACGCGATGAGTGGGGCTCTAGACCACGTGATGAGTGGGGCTCTAGACCACGCGATGAGTGGAGCTCTAGACCACGCGATGAGTGGGGCTCTAGACCACGTGATGAGTGGGGCTCTAGACCACGTGATGAGTGGGGCTCTAGACCACGTGATGAGTGGGGCTCTAGACCACGTGATGAGTGGGGCTCTAGACCAGGTGACGAGTGGGGCTCTAGACCACGTGATGAGTGGGGCTCTAGACCACGTGATGAGTGGGGCTCTAGACCACGCGATGAGTGGAGCTCTAGACCACGCGATGAGTGGGGCTCTAGACCACGTGATGAGTGGGGCTCTAGACCACGTGATGAGTGGGGCTCTAGACCACGTGATGAGTGGGGCTCTAGACCACGTGATGAGTGGGGCTCTAGACCACGCGATGAGTGGAGCTCTAGACCACGCGATGAGTGGAGCTCTAGACCACGTGATGAGTGGGGCTCTAGACCAGGTGATGAGTGGGGCTCTAGACCAGGTGACGAGTGGGGCTCTAGACCACGTGATGAGTGGGGCTCTAGACCACGCGATGAGTGGAGCTCTAGACCACGCGATGAGTGGGGCTCTAGACCACGTGACGAGTGGGGCTCTACACCACGTGATGAGTGGGGCTCTAGACCACGTGATGAGTGGGGCTCTAGACCACGTGATGAGTGGGGCTCTAGACCACGTGATGAGTGGGGCTCTAGACCAGGTGACGAGTGGGGCTCTACACCACGTGACGAGTGGGGCTCTAGACCACGTGATGAGTGGGGCTCTAGACCACGTGATGAGTGGGGCTCTAGACCACGTGATGAGTGGGGCTCTAGACCAGGTGACGAGTGGGGCTCTAGACCACGTGATGAGTGGGGCTCTAGACCACGCGATGAGTGGGGCTCTAGACCACGTGATGAGTGGGGCTCTAGACCACGCGATGAGTGGAGCTCTAGACCACGCGATGAGTGGGGCTCTAGACCACGTGATGAGTGGGGCTCTAGACCACGTGATGAGTGGGGCTCTAGACCACGTGATGAGTGGGGCTCTAGACCAGGTGATGAGTGGGGCTCTAGACCAGGTGACGAGTGGGGCTCTAGACCACGCGATGAGTGGAGCTCTAGACCACGCGATGAGTGGAGCTCTAGACCACGTGATGAGTGGGGCTCTAGACCACGTGATGAGTGGGGCTCTAGACCACGTGACGAGTGGGGCTCTAGACCACGCGATGAGTGGAGCTCTAGACCACGCGATGAGTGGAGCTCTAGACCACGTGATGAGTGGGGCTCTAGACCAGGTGATGAGTGGGGCTCTAGACCAGGTGACGAGTGGGGCTCTAGACCACGTGATGAGTGGGGCTCTAGACCACGTGATGAGTGGGGCTCTAGACCACGCGATGAGTGGAGCTCTAGACCACGCGATGAGTGGGGCTCTAGACCAGGTGATGAGTGGGGCTCTAGACCAGGTGACGAGTGGGGCTCTAGACCACGTGATGAGTGGGGCTCTAGACCACGTGATGAGTGGGGCTCTAGACCACGCGATGAGTGGAGCTCTAGACCACGTGATGAGTGGGGCTCTAGACCACGTGATGAGTGGAGCTCTAGACCACGCGATGAGTGGAGCTCTAGACCACGCGATGAGTGGAGCTCTAGACCACGTGATGAGTGGGGCTCTAGACCAGGTGATGAGTGGGGCTCTAGACCAGGTGACGAGTGGGGCTCTAGACCACGTGATGAGTGGGGCTCTAGACCACGCGATGAGTGGGGCTCTAGACCAGGTGATGAGTGGGGCTCTAGACCAGGTGACGAGTGGGGCTCTAGACCACGTGATGAGTGGGGCTCTAGACCACGTGATGAGTGGGGCTCTAGACCACGCGATGAGTGGAGCTCTAGACCACGCGATGAGTGGGGCTCTAGACCACGTGACGAGTGGGGCTCTACACCACGTGATGAGTGGGGCTCTAGACCACGTGATGAGTGGGGCACTAGACCACGTGATGAGTGGGGCTCTAGACCACGTGATGAGTGGGGCTCTAGACCAGGTGACGAGTGGGGCTCTACACCACGTGACGAGTGGGGCTCTAGACCACGTGATGAGTGGGGCTCTAGACCACGTGATGAGTGGGGCTCTAGACCACGTGATGAGTGGGGCTCTAGACCAGGTGACGAGTGGGGCTCTAGACCACGTGATGAGTGGGGCTCTAGACCACGCGATGAGTGGAGCTCTAGACCACGCGATGAGTGGGGCTCTAGACCACGCGATGAGTGGGGCTCTAGACCACGTGATGAGTGGGGCTCTAGACCACGCGATGAGTGGGGCTCTAGACCACGCGATGAGTGGGGCTCTAGACCACGCGATGAGTGGGGCTCTAGACCACGCGATGAGTGGGGCTCTAGACCACGCGATGAGTGGAGCTCTAGACCACGCGATGAGTGGAGCTCTAGACCACGCGATGAGTGGGGCTCTAGACCACGTGATGAGTGGGGCTCTAGACCACGCGATGAGTGGGGCTCTAGACCACGTGATGAGTGGGGCTCTAGACCACGCGATGAGTGGGGCTCTAGACCACGTGATGAGTGGGGCTCTAGACCACGCGATGAGTGGAGCTCTAGACCACGCGATGAGTGGGGCTCTAGACCACGTGATGAGTGGGGCTCTAGACCACGTGATGAGTGGGGCTCTAGACCACGCGATGAGTGGGGCTCTAGACCACGCGATGAGTGGGGCTCTAGACCACGTGATGAGTGGAGCTCTAGACCACGCGATGAGTGGGGCTCTAGACCACGTGATGAGTGGGGCTCTAGACCACGTGATGAGTGGGGCTCTAGACCACGCGATGAGTGGAGCTCTAGACCACGTGATGAGTGGGGCTCTAGACCACGTGATGAGTGGGGCTCTAGACCACGTGATGAGTGGGGCTCTAGACCACGCGATGAGTGGAGCTCTAGACCACGTGATGGGTGGGGCTCTAGACCACGTGACGAGTGGGGCTCTAGACCACGTGATGAGTGGGGCTCTAGACCACGCGATGAGTGGGGCTCTAGACCAGGTGACGAGTGGGGCTCTAGACCACGTGATGAGTGGGGCTCTAGACCAGGTGACGAGTGGGGCTCTAGACCACGTGATGAGTGGGGCTCTAGACCAGGTGACGAGTGGGGCTCTAGACCACGTGATGAGTGGGGCTCTAGACCAGGTGACGAGTGGGGCTCTAGACCACGTGACGAGTGGGGCTCTAGACCACGTGACGAGTGGGGCTCTAGACCACGTGATGAGTGGGGCTCTAGACCAGGTGATGAGTGGGGCTCTAGACCACGTGATGAGTGGGGCTCTAGACCACGTGATGAGTGGGGCTCTAGACCACGTGGTGAGTGGGGCTCTAGATCCGGTGACAAAGAAACCCGCTGAGTTTCCTCGGACCATCGCCGCCACCTGCAGGATCTCGATGATCTTTCGCTTGGTGTCCATGACGACCAGGTCCCGCTCCTGCTCGTCGGCCGGCTTGGAGGCTGTGCAGCCCCCGGCGGGAGGGGTCCGGGGAGCCGGCAGGAAGCCGCCCCCCCTCAGCACCACCTGGGTCATGAGCTCGCCCACGCCGTGGATGGAGCGCATCACGTGGCTTCCTGTGGGCACAGAGACGGGACGGGGAATACCGCCGCCGCCACCAGCACCGCCATCATCAGTGCCAGCATCATCATTATCATCAGCATCATCAGCGCCAGCATCATCATCATTAGTATCATCAGCATCATCAGCACCATCATCATCAGCATCATCAGCACCAGCATCATCATCATCAGCGCCAGCATCATCATCATTATCATCAGCACCAGCATCATTATCATCATCAGTTCCAGAATCATTATTATCATCATCATCAGCATCATCATCATTATCATCAGCACCAGCATCATTATCATCATCAGTTCCAGAATCATTATTATCATCATCAGCATCATCATCATCAGCACCAGAATCATCATCATCAGTTCCAGAATTATTATTATCATCATCAGCATCATCATCATTATCATCAGCATCATCATTTTCATCATCATTATTATCATTAGATTCAGCATCATCATTATCATCATCAGTACCAGCGTGCGTGTCGCCTCCCCCCACCCCGCACCTCGGTGGGTGGCCTGCGTCTTGCCGGGCAGGAGGCCCGCGGGCGGCTTCGGGGAGCTCTGCACGCAGTCGAGGATGGCGAGCAGCGTGCGCGTCAGGCGCAGCAGGTCGCTGAAGCTGTAGAAGCCGAAGTACACCAGGTGCCGGGCTAGGTTCACCACCTGCGAACGCGAGCGAGCGCCCGTCGTCATCGTCGTCATCATCGTCGGTCGCATTCCCCACGTCGCCCGAACGATGCGAGTTCAAACCCGCGGTGAAGCGCGGAGGGCTGAACGGAGTTCCAAAGAGCTCGCAAACAAACACCACCTCGTGGTGCAAGACCCAACGCAGGCGATCTCCCCTCTGGGTTTGGTCTTCCACGGAGCTGCTCATGGTCCACGCTGCACAAACCATGGCAGCAGATGCGGATAAATTGACGCGCAAATGAAATATTAAAAGCTCTCCGGTAGTAGTGGTGCGACTGTGGTCATCCAGATGAGAGACCGTGCAAACGTATAACGACGCAATGCCCCGATCCACAGATACGACGGAGACACCGCAGCGACGACGATGATGATAACGCTACTCCGCTGGCTCCTGGCGCGCTTATGAGCTGGCTTGACCACCTGGATGTGAAATCAAAGCCGTTGCTCTGCGTCTAGATCGGCAGCTGCCGTACGAAAGAACAAGTGGAAGAAGATCATCATCAGGGCATCTATTGATACAAATGTTCGTGGCCTCAAGGGTGGAGCGGGGGGGGGGGGGGGGGCAGTGAATCGTCACCGCCGTTAGATCCCCACTTGAAAAAGCGGCGACGTTCGGATGACCCCGTCCGCGAGCATTTCGCACCGAGCTGTCTGAAGGGCGCGGGGGGGGGGGGGGTCCCTGGGGGGGGTCCCTGGGGGGGTCCCTGGGCGGGGTCCCTGGGGGGGGTCCCTGGGGGGGGTCCCTGGGGGGGGGTCCCTGGGGAAGTGGCCCTGGGGGAGGGGCAGTGTCCCCCTTAGGTGGACTCAGCCGACAGAAGCGTGGCCACACCTGGAAGGTGAGCTTGTTCTTCTCGCGGTCGGCGAAGGGGAAGGGCTGGCTCACGACGTCGCGTAGGTACTCTTCGGCGAACACCATGGTCTGGGCGAAGCGCGGCTTGGCGTCCTCGCGCGCCGACCCGCTGCACGCGTCGTAGCTGCACGCACGCGCGCACACACGTACGTACAAAGACAAAGATCCCCCGTATAGCCTGAATAGACTATTGGGGCAAGTGCTGTTAGCGAGCACCTATGAAGGCCGGCACGGCACACGAGAGGGAGCGTGGCCAGCACCACGTCCGACCGCCTTTGTCTCCCCAGTGGCGATGTTTACACACCGCACCAGGTACTCATTTGAGGCTGAGTCGACCTAGGGGACGCCCAGGACCGGTTCAGATATTCGTCACTGGCGTGGGCCGTGAGCGGGAATCAAACTTGGGTCTCCAGGGTCGTAGTGTCTAGCGCGCTGACCGCTCCACTACCATTCCCCATAGCTGAGCGCACACACACATACACACGCACACACACGTACACACATACGCACACACACGTACACGTGTGTGCATTGGCACCTTAGATTAGCACGGTTGGCTACGTACGGTACGAAAGAAGTTTCGAATACAGTACATATACACGTACGTAGATACGTACACACACACACACAATCACAGTCATCATCGTTAGCCACGGGCTAGCCACCATACATGCCATAGCTGTACGTACATACACACGTAACAGCACACGTCTGGAATGTCCGATATTAGGAATCCACTGAAGCTATGCACTTTTAAATCGAATTTCTCTTGAACTTATTTTTGTGTTTAGTTTGTTGTCCTTCCCCCGCACCTCTGATTAGCACGGCTGTCTACGTACGGTACGAAACAAGCCCATACGTACACGCACGCCCAAAACGCATCAGCGCTCGGCTCCAGCGACCGCGTCTATCCACGGTCTCTCTTACTCGTCGATGGTGATCTGCGACGGGATCTCGGACCAGAGGCGCGCGTAGCGCACGGGCGTCACGGGTTCCTGCGGGTCGCGGTCCACGTGCATGTGCAGCATGAGGCAGCAGAACGAAGCTCGCAGGTCAAAGGGCAGCTGCTCGTCGGCCATGCAGCGCTGCAGCAGCTCCACGTCCAGCTGGCCCGAGATGCTGTTGATGGCCAGGTACTGGCGGTCGAGGCACATCTGCGAGAAGAGGTTCAGCTGGTACCTGCGTGCGCGGGACGGACGGACGGACCGACGAGGAGGAGGAGGTTAGCGGCAGCGCGCTCCGACCCCGGCGAACAGAAGAGTTACGCTTCCTGCCTACGGGCAACATCGGCGACGACTGTCTGAATCGCTCTTGCGGTGTTGGGTTTCTCGCCGGCTTCGTCAGAATAGCAGGAAGGCAAAGATTCCCCCAGCAGAGGGCAGGGCAGGATGAGGCAACTTCTTCTTCTTGTTAGTCCATCAAAGTTGATGATGACCATGGCGCGTTTGTCATTTTGTTGGGTTTTGATGAGTGCGCAGATGGCTGAAGAGGCCAATCCGAGCCGGGAATTCCCTGTGGCACACTGGACAGGTCAGGGAGGATGCAGAGCTCTGAGGTGCAGCCACACGTCCTTCCTTGGTAGATTTGCGCTGCTGCCTCTTCAAGATAGCACAGGAGCTTCTCCTACTCTCACAGAGGACTGCACCGTGCAGTACTTTTCTTCTCCAGACAGGTCGGTCCTGTGCAACTACACTCCGTGCGTTATCCTCTCCTGCCGCCAACATCTCCATTCAGGTCCCTCCCTAACCCTTTCCTGTTCCGAGACGTCTGAAAGTCGCAGGGGGCGGGGGGAGGGGCGGGGGAGGGCGGGGGGGGGGCGGGGGGGGCGGGGGGGGGGGGTCCCGTCCACCGCTGAATCTCGGAACGCGTGAACGGCTCGGCGATAATTTTATTTGGAGAGGCGACGGAGCTGTTGGTGGTGGCGGTGGTGGTGATGTAGCTCTAGATAGTGGTGGTGGTGGTGACATAGCCGTAGCTGTAGACGATGGTGGTGGTGATGGTGATGTAGCCGTAGCTGTAGACGATGGTGGTGGTGGTGGTGATGTAGGTGGAGGTGAGGTAGATGTAGGTGGAGGTGAGGTAGCTGTCGGTGTTGGCGGTGGTGGCGGTGGTGGTGATGTAGCTCTAGATAGTGGTGGTGGTAGAGGTGACATAGCCGTAGCTGTAGACGGTGGTGGTGGTGGTGATGTAGCTTTAGATAGTGGTGGTGGTGGTGATGTAGCTCTAGATAGTGGTGGTGGTGGTGGTGACATAGCCGTAGTTGTAGACGATGGTGGTGGTGGAGGTGAAGTAGCTGTAGCTGCAGGTGGTGGTGGTGGTGGTGATGTAGCTCTAGATGGTGGTGGTGGTGGTGATGTAGCTGTAGACGATGGTGGTGGTGACATAGCCGTATCTATAGACGGTGGTGGTGGTGATGTAGCTCTAGATGGTGGTGGTGGTGATGTAGCTCGAGGCGGTGGTGATGGTGGTGGAGGTGACGTAGCCGTAGCTGCAGACGGTGGTGGTGATGTAGCTCTAGATGGTGGTGGTGGTGATGGTTATGTAGCTCTAGATGGTGGTGGTGGTTATGTAGCTCTAGACGGTGGTGGTGGTGATGTAGCTCTAGATGGTGGTGGTGGAGGTGACGTAGCCGTAGCTGCAGACGGCGTATCTCCACACGACGACGACGACACCGCGGGGTGACGCACCGATAGTACGAGAGGATGGAGGCGTCCTCAGCCTGGCCGTCGCGAGCGTCCTGCGCCAGGTCGCGCACGCTCTTGCTGCGCTGGCCCTTGTCGCCGTCGCTCCAGAAGAGCCACACCTCCTCCTCCTCGCGCATCTCCACGCGGGGGGCGCCCGTGCCCCCCTCCTCCTCCTCCATCTCCACCTCCACTTGAGAGAGCATCAGCCTGCACGCGGCACGGCACGGCACGCGCAAGGGATCGGCTCGCGGTGACTCGGGTGATGATTCTGCTACTGCTGCTGTTGATGCTGTTGATGCTGCTACTGCTGCTGTTGATGATGCTGCTACTGCTGCTGTTGATGCTGATGTTGCTGCTGATACTGCTGCTGATGCTGATACTGCTGCTGTTGATGCTGCTGATGCTGCTGTTGATGCTGCTGATGCTACTGTTGATGATGCTGATACTGCTGATACTGTTGATGATGCTGATACTGCTGCTGTTGATGATGCTGATGCTGCTGTTGATGATGCTGATACTGCTGATGCTGCTGCTGTTGCTGATGCTGCTGATGCTGTTGATGCTGCTGCTGATACTGCTGCTGTTGATGATGCTGCTGTAACTGTTGATGATGCTGATACTGCTGCTGTTGATGATGCTGCTGTTAATGATGCTGATACTGCTGATGCTGCTGTTGCTGATGCTGCTACTGCTACTGATGCTGCTGATGCTGCTGCTGTTGATGATGCTGCTGATACTGTTGATGATGCTGATACTGCTGCTGTTGATGATGCTGATGCTGTTGTTGATGATGCTGATACTGCTGTTGATGATGCTGCTGATACTGCTGCTGTTGATGATGCTGATACTGCTGTTGATGATGCTGCTGATACTGCTGCTGTTGATGATGCTGATGTTGCTGCTATGCTGCTGATGCTGCTGATACTGCTGCTGTTGATTATGCTGCTACTGCTACTGTTGATGCTGCTGATGCTGCTGATACTGCTGCTGTTGATGATGCTGCTACTGCTGCTCTTGATGCTGCTGATGCTGCTGATACTGCTTCTGTTGATGATGCTGCTACTGCTGCTCTTGATGCTGCTGATGCTGCTGATGCTGTTGATGATGCTGCTACTGTTGCTCTTGATGCTGCTGATGCTGCTGTTGATGCTGCTGCTGCTACTGTTGATGCTGCTGATGTTGCTGCTGATGCTGCTGTTGCTGCTGCTGCTGCTACTACTGCTGAGGCTGCTGATGCTAATGCTGCTGCTTCTCCTGCAGCTGCTGATGATGCTGTTGATGCTGCTGCTGATTCTGCTGATGCTGCTGCTACTCCTGCAGCTGCTGCTGATGCTATCGTTGCTGCTGCTATTGCTGCTGCTGCTGCTGCCACTGCTACATTGGGATGTTCGCCCGTGCATTCCGTTGTTATCGGGAGATTGTTTGGTTCTGTCTGGGAGGAAGCCGGAGAACCCCGGGGAAAACCCTACCAAGTGTACAATTAATTTCTTCGGAAATTCTAATTAGTTTTTACTTGTGTAATACACAGAGGCTGTCTCTCTGTGTTGTTTGATGCCTGCTCCGGTTTCTTCTGCTATGACGATGATGATTATGCAGTTGTTGCCTAATATCCAAATTTTATTACTGGTGATGACACTCATGATTCAACTTCTACTGCTGATGACAATGATGATAATGATTAGGATGAAATTACTGCTGCTAATAACGATGATGATGACACTGATGATGATGCTAATAACAAGAATGAGACTGGTGATGTTAATGACACTCATGATGCTGATGACATTGACGACGATGATGATATGATGATGATAATATGACGCTGCTGCTGATGACAATGATGACAGAACTGACAATGTCACTGACGATGCCATTTCTGCTGCTGCTGCTGCTGCTGCTGATGATGAATACATTGACGACGACGACGATCACGAGGAACATCTCACTTCGTCTCGATGAGGATGTCTCCGTTGTTGGGGTTCAGCACCGACTTGCAGATGAGCTCCTGGGTGACGGGGATGGCAGTGTTGTTCGAGACGCACAGGTCAGACAGGTAGTCCAGGAACCTGCGGAGGAGGGCAGATAATAGGAGCAGGAAGAGAAGGGAGATGTTGAGCAGGACCGTGGCCAACTCCGTCGCAAGCCGAGGACCTAAGGCGCGCAAGTCCCGGTGCTTTCCGAAAGTCTCTCCCGCTTGCCCCAGCACCACGAAGCGGTTGCGAAAATCGGGATTTTTTCTTTCAGAAATATTTGGTTTCAAATATTCCGGCACCTATGCTCAACCCTTCGTAGCTGTGCAGGCTTCTGGCAAGCCATCGAACCCGCGACCGGCCTGCGTATACCGGGCGTGGTAGTCAACATCTCCCAGCCACCGCGGGGGGAAACCAACCGAGGGACGCGGCGGAAAACCCCGCCGTGGACGGACACCAAAGCGGCGGAACACGGCGGCGAGAATGCGGCGTCAGCCGTCGGTTGACGTTGCCGCCGGCTGGGACCGGCGGGAGAGAAGTTCGCATCCATCTCGCGACGCGATGTCGGGTTGTAGCTCTCCGACCCGTGCAAGACCGACCGACCGATCGTCGACCGGCGGGCAGCCGGGCGGGGCGGGCGGACTCACCGCGGCTCACGGTTCTTGCGCACGAGCGACACGAACGTCTCGATCTCGGCGGCCGTGATGTGCTTCTCCAGCAGCTTGCGGTTGTTGTGCAGCAGCGCGGTGATGGTGTCCTCCGCCAACACGTCGTAGCCGATCTGCTTCTGCATGAAGCCGAACTGCTTGGCGATGTACTCCTGCGGGCATTGCGTCGGCGGCAGGGAGGGGATGAAAAGTAATCTGTTAAAAAATTAACCCGTAAAAACTAAGTTTTTCACTATAAATCCTTAATATGCGTGGCATCGGTTTTATTTTATTATTCATTTCTGTTTTTCTTGAGTAAGAGTTTCATTTTTATCACATAGGTATTTTAAATTAAATATGACACTTTTTTTTCCTAAAAAGTGGAAAATTTTGGAAAAAAATTTTCACGAAAATAAATTGTCACGCACAACGGGTCTGTGTGCAAAATGTCAGCTCGATTGGATCACGGGAAGTGGGTTAAAAAACGACCGAAAGATTTGCACGGTCGTAAGCGCGCAAGCAAGCAAGCAAGTGAACTTAATATAAAGGATTTAAAAACGGCACTCCCGTGTCCCGACCGTTAAACTTCTTCCCCCCTCCTTTGCATGGTCCAGTTGAGTCGGGACTGTCCATGCCGTGAATTGTGACACCGGGTCACGTGGGGTCCGAGCAGCGTGCTGCACCGGGCTAGCGTTGTGTTGCAATAAAAGTAAAAAAAATACTCCCGCGCCCCCCCTCACCCCTCGGTTCCTCCCTCCCTCTCCTTCCCCTTCCCCCCCTTACCCCTTCTCCCCTCCCCCTCGCTCGTCGTCCTGGGTGGTGGAGCAGTGAGCCCCCCAGTTCTCCCCCCCCCCCCCCATGTCCCGCCGAACCCGGGGCTGCTGTTCGCCAAAGTTTCTGTTCCCCCCCCCCCCCCCATCGTTTTGTGAGGGGGGAGGGCCGACGCGACACCACCGGTGACCAGAGATCGCAAACGGGTACCCGATACCCATACCCTACCCGATACCCGGCTACCGTACCCTGGTGCGGCCAGGTACGGTTAGGCCGTGAGTCACTGGTGAGTAACCGTTTGTCACTCATTTCCCAACGTCTTGTCTCTTCTCACAATTCAAGTTCCTAGAATCAACCGACCCGTGCCTGCAACATGGCTTCATCCCAGAGGTCGCAATCGGGTACCCGTACCCTACCCGATACCCGACTGGGTACGGGTAGCCGGGTATTGGGTAGGGTACGGGTACGGGTACCCGTTTGCGACCCTGGTGCGGCCGGGTATGGGTACGGGTAAGGAATCAAAACCCGTTTGCGACCTCTGCCGGTGACAGATTACCCGAATCGGTCCTGGGCCTCCCCGAGGTCGACTCAGCCTCAATTAAATACCCGGTGTGATGTGTTAAACATTGTCACTTGGGAGACAAAGGCTGCTGCTGGCCACCCACCCCCGCCGTGCCGGCCTTCATAGACGCTGGCACTCGGTCATAACACTTGCCACCTACAATCTGATCATTGGTTTTTTTACCCTTCTATCTGGCAACAAAACTGACACCTTTTTACAAGGAGTCATGTTTGCATAGACCACAATACCTGCAGCCATAATGCAAACAAAAAAACATAATTCTGATAATGTATGCACTGTCCTTGAAGTTGATTGGTCCACACCCGAGACAGCTTTCCTTAGAGCCTAGTCTCACATGGTGTTGGACTAGATGACGCCAAAAGGCGCACAACTCAAAGACAATGCACCATCATATGAGCTCTCATAACTTCAAGGACAGTGCATACATTATCAGAGTTATGTTTTTTGTTTGCATTATGGCTGCAGGTATTGCGGTCTATGAAAACATGACTCCTTGTAGAAAGTTTTCAGTTTTGTTGCCAGATAGAAGGGTAAAAAAAAAACAATTATCATATTTTTTTACTGGCAAATGAGATTCCAATGGTGTAAACGCCTACAATCTGTAAATGCTCCACGGGCGATCTTTGTCGTTGGCCGGGCGTGGTGCCGCTGGCCACCCACCCCCGTCGCGCGCCTTGCCGGCCTTCACAGGTGCCACCCGCTACCAGCGCTCGCCCCTGCAGCCTGCTAAGGTCCACGCTCGGTGGGCTCGGCGCCACCACCTGGTTCTTGCGGTAGTCCTGCTGCGAGTGGCGCAGCACGCGGTAGCACAGGCAGCAGATGTGGCGGAACGGCGCGTGACGCTGGTCCGAGAGCTCCTCCATGCGCAGCATCGGCCCGTCGCCACCGTCCACAAACGGCGCCTGCAGCAGCTTGAAGATCTGCCGCGGGAGAGAAAGACAGGAGATGATGATGCGCGCCGGTCAGATCAAAACGTCACTCACTCACTAACTCACACACTCACTCAGCCACTCACTCACCACTCACTCACTCACTCACCCACTCACTCACTCACCCACTCACCCACTCACTCACCACTCACTCACTCACTCACACACTCACCCACTCATTCATCCACTCACAAACCACTCACTCACTCACCCACTCACCCACTCATTCATCCACTCACTCACCACTCACTCACTGACTCACCCACTCACTCACCCACTCATTCATCCACTCACTCACCACCCACTCACTCACTCACCCACTCACCCACTCACTCGCCCACTCACCCACTCATTCATCCACTCAAACCACTCACTCACTCACATACTCACCCACTCATTCATCCACTCACTCACTCACTCACTCACTCACTCACTCACTCACACACTCACCCACTCATTCATCCACTCACTCACCCACTCACTCACTCACTCACCCACTCATTCATTCACTCACCCACCCACTCACTCACTCACTCACCCACTCACTCACTCACTCATCACCCACTCACCCACTCATTCATCCACTCACTCACCACTCACTCACACTCACCTCACCACTCAGCCACACACTCCCTCACCCACTCATCCACCACTCACCCACTCACTCACTCGCCCACTCACCCACTCATTCATCACTCACTCACCATCACTCACTCACCACACACTCACCCACTCAGCCACTCACTCACTCACCCACTCATTCATCCACTCACTCACCCACTCACTCACTCGCCCACTCACCCACTCATTCATCCACTCACAAACCACTCACTCACTAACTCACACACTCACCCACTCATTCATCCACTCACTCACCACTCACTCACTCACTCACTTACCCACTCACTCACTCACCCACTCACCCACTCATTCATCCACTCACTCACTCACCACTCACTCACTCACTCACTCACCCACTCATTCATCCACTCACTCACACACTCACTCACCCACTCATTCATCCACTCACTCACACACTCACTCACTCACACACTCACACACCATAGCCGCTTCTGTTGGCGACGTTCGAAGTGAGGGACTGGCGCGCCCCCCCCCCTCTACCCCCCCCCCCCACATCCCTCAGTGATTCGTGCATCAAACAAACGACTCGAGACACCGGCAGGGAGAGGGCGGTTTATGCGAACGCTGCCAAACGCTGAGGTCACACGCGTGGCGCAGCAACGGTCCTTTGCTGGCTACGAATGAGTGGATAGAACCGTCAATACGTGCTTGCAGCTACCCCCCCCCCCGACCTCGCCCCCCCCCCCCTCGACAGCCAACTCCCTCCCCCCCAAACTCAGACGCGGTGCGAAACGTCGGGACGTCGTGCCCGAGCGCGTCGGGAAATAAAAATGAAAAACTATTTTCGTAAAAAAATGTCAGCGTTGTTCAAGTAACTGTTGCAAGAAACGCGGAAGCAGATGTACAACGAGTGGATAATGTAGGCCATTGTCTGAACGTTTTTTTGTCAGTGCGGGTCGAAGCCGGCGACGTTCAGCCTCGCCACCCCAACGAGCGTCGCTCCGTGGCCGACTGCAACCACTCCCCCCACGGGTGGGCAGGGAGGGAGCAGGGGGGGAGGGGGGGGTCCCAAATTCCGCCACCGACCAATAAGAAACCGCCGTTCCAAGCTCATTTGCATAGGAATTTGCATAGGAACGGCACTCCGCCCCAGCTCCCCCCGCCACGAAAACACCGTGACACGACGGCCGCTACCTGCCCGCGACCCCGTGACCCCTTGACCCCTTGACCCCTCGGCGGCGACCCCTGGGCGACCCCTGGGCGACCCCGCGGCGACTCCTGGGCGACTCCTGGGCGACACCTGGGCGACCCCTGGGCGACCCCTGGGCGACCCCTGGGCGACCCCTGGGCGACCCCTGGGCGACCCCTGGGCGACCCCTGGGCGACCCCTGGGCGACTCGCCTGCTTCAGGATGTTCTGCTCGCGCATCAGCTTCTGCCGCTCGCGGTTGGGCTTGTTCACGGTCACCTCGAGCACGTCCTGCCCCGAGTTGGCCACGTCGGCCACGAAGAAGACCAGGTCCTCGAGCAGCTTGCTCACGAACCTGAGCTCGCGCACACGTGGCAAAGAAACACAGATCCCCAACCCCCCCCCAGTATAGCCTGTTGGGGCAAGTGCTGTTAGCAAGCTCCTGTGAAGGCCGACGTGGCACACGGCGGGGTGGGTGGTCAGCACCACGCCCGGCTGACCGAGGGGAGGAGGCCCAGGATTGGTTCAGGTAATCGCCACTGGTGTTGGCCGTGAGTGGGAATCGAACTTGGGTTGCAGGTAAGGCCCACTGGGCTACACAGGTCGGTCTTCATAAGCGACCATGCTACAAATGATAGCTCAGCAAAGTGGCTTATCACGTGGAAATGTATAGCTGTAAAATAAACGACACGGACGTTGATTCTAATTGTGGAGGGAAAAACCGGAGGACCCGGAGAAAATTCCACGCGACCACGGAGAGAAAAGAGAGACACGCAAACTCTAAATAAACAACAAACGTCAAGGTTGGGATCGAACCCATGACCTCCTGTATACCAGGTGAGGGAGTAATCATCTCCTAGTCACCGTGGCGCCTTTGAAAGTAGGATCAATGCGACGATTGCTGGTGATTTAAAAATAAATCGAGATGCAAAATGAAAAGATCAACGTAAAAACAAGAGTAAAATAATTAGAACAATAATAATAATATAATAACACATGATACTTTTTAAAGCTTTCGTTACTGCAGGGATTCATATTCTTGGTTCTTTCGGTAAAGTTACGTAAAAGGGAAACAATAAAATAGTAAAAATATAAAACAATAAAATTCTCACGACGTTTCCATTGCAACACAAGCAATCATCATCAGGTGTGAAAACCACAGCCACTTTTTACAAATTTTCTTGCTGTGGTTTTCACACCTGATGACGATTACTTGTGTTGCAATCGAAACTTCGTGAGAATTGTATTGTTTTATATTTTTATCATTTTACTGTTTTCCTTCTACGTGACTTCACCGAAAGAACCAAGAATATGAACACGTGATACGTTTACGTAACTCCTTTGGCGCCCTGTTTGACAATCGCGCAAGAAAGCGACAAACGCTGCCGCCGCCGCCACCGCTGGTCCGATACCTGCGCTCGTTCTGCGTGATGGTCGACTTCTCCAGCTTGTCGGCGATGGTGCCCAGCACCTTGCTGGCGTCGTTGGCGAAGTCGAGGTCGCGCACCTCGGCCGGCGACACGGGCACCACGGCGAACGCCTCCTTGTCCTCCTTGGTGGAGCTGGTGCCGATCTGAGACGCGACGAAAAGATCCCCCCACCCCCACCGCTCTCCTCGTTATGGCCTCGACAAGAACCCCCGTTTAGGGGGGGGGTGGGGGGGTAGGTTGTTGGTGTTAGCGAGTGGCGGCGCCTACGCAAGCCCGGCCCCGTGGCACACGAATGGGGGGGGGGGGGGGGGGGGTGACACCACCGCGCCCGCCTCTGTCACATCGCGACCGACGGCTCGTTTTGAGACCGAATCGACCTAGGAGGGTTGGCACGGGACCGGTACGGATATTCCATCGGCGATGCTGGCCCGAACAGGGGCCACTGCACACACGTACGCAACAATAACAAAGACGAAGATCCCCCGTATAGCCTGTAATAGACCGTTGGGGCAAGTGGTGTTAAAGAGTAGCACCTACGAAGGCCAGCACGTCACATGTTTACACACCGCACCGGGTACTCATTTGAGGCTGATCACCGGTGTTGGCCGTGAACGGGAATCGAACTCGGGTCGCCGGGGACATGGAAGGAGATGTTCATGTTTTAGTTTTTTGTTTGTTGCGGTTGCACCCGATTCAAGAGCCGAATGGCTCACAGGGCTATACCTAATAAATGAACTTGAACTTGAACGAGGTTGTGCAAGACCATGGAGAGATTTGAAGACTCGCATCTTCAAATCTCTTTCACCAATTCCCAGAGATGCAGGCTGACGTGTGCCGGTAGTCGTTGCTCTCTAACCTTCATCATCACCGGCTTCTCCTCCTCGTGGTCGATCAGGGACGACGTGCTGTGGACCCACGTGTTGGTGCACAGGTGCCTTAGTCTGACATACGAGTTCCTGACGGGCACACGGGACGGCACGTCAAAGCAAACCACCTATGAACATGCAGAGCTTGGTCTGTGTGCGTGCGGGTGAGTGGGTGAGCGAGCGAGCGATTGAGTGAGCAGATGAAGGGATTTAACACGTCGGCTTTCGCGACCAATATTATTCATGTTTCATATTCTTGGTTCTTTCGGTAAAGTCACGTAGAAGGGAAATAATAAAATGATAAAAATATTAAACAATAACATTCTCACGACGTTTCGATTGCAACACAAGCAATCATCATCAGGTGTGAAAATCACAGCAAGAAAATTTGAAAAAAGTGGCGTTTTTTTATTAACGTCAGCACCACGGACAGCAACTGGCGGTTGTTCAGACGGACAAGTCCATCTATGCTTGGAATGGAGGAGTGGGGAGAGAACGAGAATGGAATGCGGTCTGAAAGTCACCGTAAGCATGAACACAATCAATCAAGACCCGAAATGGTTGATCAAATCCTTCCAATGATCGCTAAGCCAGAATCAATCTTCTCGGTTGAAATTGTCTCTGTGTTTGTATATGTGGATAGCCTCATGAACGAATCTCTTGGTAGCATAATAAAGGTGTTTTGGGTAGGAACGCGTAAGTATAAATGCGTTGTAACCGTCCACCATCCGACACAGCCAGTAAGGTTTGTCTTGTAAACAAAACGCGCCAATCAGCTACTACCTCGGCCTGCCGGTGTGCTGGAGAGTAAATCCAGAACATTAACAATTGTAAATGTGTGTTTGAGAGTGAATGCAAATGGATAAGTGAGCAATTGATCAAGTGAGTTACTGAGTGAGCGAGGGAGTGACTGGGCGAGTTGAGCCAGTTGAACGGGTGAGTGTTCGCCTGGGCACGAGTAAGCGAGCGTGAGTAAATAGAGCGAGCATTCGAGAAAGTGAGTGAGCGAGTGGGTGAGCGAATGCAAATGAGCGAGCGAGCGAGCGACTGGACGAGTTGAGCGCTCGCCTGGGCACGAGCGAGTCTCCGCGCTGCAGCGTCGTGGGGTCGAGCTCGAAGATGGAGGCGATGTCGTTGCCGTGGGGGACGCACACGAGCGCGTACATGACGCGCTCCGGCCCCCCGCCTCGCAGGCGGCTGCGGAGAGGCGGCGGCGCGGGGGACGCCGACTCGGAGGACTCGGCACCGTCGCCCTGGGAGGCCGCACGGACGCGCCGACGCACGGGCACAACGACAAACGGACACGCGGTCACGCGGTTACACGGGCACATTGATACGTGGACACATGGTCACATGGTCACACTGTCACACGGGCACACGGACACATTGACATGCGGACATATTGACACGTGGACACGTGGTCACATGGACACACGGACACATTGACACGCGGACACATTGACACGTGGACACGTGGACACGTGGTCACATGGTCACATGGACACACGGACACATTGACACGCGGACACATTGACACGCGGACACGTGGTCACATGGACACACGGACACATTGACACGCGGACACATTTACACGTGGTCACGTGGACACGTGGTCACATGGTCACACTGTCACATGGACACACGGACACATGCGCACGTGGAAACTCCAAATATACAGGCGTCAATGGTTGGGCTCGAACCCACAACCGCCTGTTTACCGGGTGAGGAATTTATATTCATGTTTTGTATTGCAACACGACGCGAGCCCGGTACGAGACGCCGAAACGAACGGAGGGGAAGAGAAACTCCGCGGACGCCAGGCGAGCTTGTGAACATCTTGCCACCGTGATTTCTCTCGGCGCTCAGAGAAAAATCACCCCCCCTCCGCCCCCCCCCCCCGCCTGGACGCCTGCTCTCCGACGTCACACGCCGGACCAGAGATTGACGCAGAGGGAGCCGATGAGAAGGCGTGCGGTGGATGGGGCGTGTGGGTGGCCTCCTGCCAATGGGAATGCTGGCGGGGGGGAGGAGCCATGGACGACGGCACGCAATGGCAAATTGCTGGAGGCAGATCGAGCGAACGTTTGAAGAGTCGGCGGGAATTCGTGCACTCGTGCGACTTGTACGAATACGCTGAAGGGTCGCGCTTATTGCGCGCAAAGCGCTCACCGCAAACGAACCACAATGCATTGCTGATCTCGTCAAGGAAATATAAACCATCGTCACTCGGCACTCCGGCCATCCCCGCAATAGCAGCAGCGGCAGCTTTGGCTGGCCATCGCAAACAAAGACGGGTCACCGCCATCGCGGCGCTTTCAGATGCGCTTCCACGGCCGTCTGGAACGCTCTTCCTTCCGATAAGTTTAGTTTGTTGTCCTCCCCCCCCCGCACCTCCAATTGGCACGGTTGGCTACGTACGATGGTGCAAAAGAAGTTGAACAAACATACATCACATTGCAGACTTGATTTAAATTCATTTTTTGTGAATTGCTTACATTTTCTCAATTTTACAATTGTATCGTTTTATTGTTTGCAGTTGTAACTCGCTGAACCCGTGCCCCTACTGGGCATCTGTGCCAAAAAGAGCTTCATAGCTCTTCGGATTCCACCTCCAGTCTGAAATAAAGATTCTGATTCTCTGTGCGTTTGCCCATAATTACTTAGAAACCGCTGATTCCCATTCAGCACCTGCTAATTAGCATACAATTAAACTTTAATTGCAATTTTATTGGGGTGTTTTTCCATTCCCAAAGCTCGCCCTCTGGTTTGCTAAATTGACACTCATTCACAAATTTTGCGTTTAAAAGCTGGAACGAGAAATAAATACGCACGGGACGCGGAGACAACATTGGCGGAAAGAATCGCGACACCGAAGGCCCGAGGTGGTGGTGAGTTGAGCTGGCACAAACGGAACGCAGGATTCCACAAAGCAAAGGCAGAGATCCCCCGCATAGCCTCCAAGAGGCTGTTAGGGCAAGGGACAAGTGATGTTAGCGAGCACCTACAAAGGCCGGCACAGCGCACGGGGTAGGTGAGTGGCCAACACCACGCCCGGCCGCCTTTGTCTCCCCCAGTGCTTATGTTTACACACTGTGACAGGTGCCACGGTGGTAAAATGTTAACTACCTCGCCTGGTATACAAGAGGTCGTGGGATCAATCCCGACCCTGACGCCTGCTGTATATTTGGAGTTTGCCTGTCTCTCTCTCTCCCCGTGGGGGTCACGTGGATGTTTCTCCGGGTCCTCCGGTTTTTAAAAGTCCCGCACGTACACAAAGACAAAGATCACCCATATAGCCTTTAACAGACTGTAGGGGCAAGTGCTGTTAGCGAGCACCTATGAAGAGGTTGGGTGGCTAGCACCACGCCGGACCGACTTTGTCTCCCCAGTGGCGAGGGTTACACACCGCACCAGGCACTCATTTGAGGCTGAATCGACCTAGGGGAGGCCCAGGACCGGTTCAGATAATCGTCACTGGGTGTTGGCCGTGAGCGGGAACCGAACTCGGGTCGCCAGGTTCGTAACGCAGGGTAGCGCTAACGCCACATTTATAATCAACATCACGCGTTTCGAGCATTTGGCTCCAGTAAACTAACCACGTGATGAAAAGCCAGGTCGCTTCTGATATCGAGCTAAATAGCTCAGTGTGGGGTCCCTTGCCTGGTAAAATAAAAAAAAACGTCTTCAATTGTAAAGGTTTAAAGTGTCACGCACGTACACACACACCGACACGGCCACCCGAGTTCGAATCCTGCCTGTGGCCGACACCACTGACGAGTTGATATTTTAACGATTCTTGCACACCTCACCCCCTTCACCTACCCACACTGACCAGCATGGTGAAGTATGGTCAAATACATCCAATGACTGATGCAGCTCGTTAGAGGAGGCCTTCATCCACCAGGGGTTTGATCATGGGGCAGTAAATAGATGAGATATAGTAATAGGTTTTTACCCTTTCAACTGGTACAAAAACTGACACCTTTATACAAGGCATCATGTTTGCAATAACCACAACACAAGCAGTCAAAATGCAAACAAAAAGAAACAACTCTGATAATGATATGCACTGTCCTTGAAGTTGATTGGTGCACACCCGAGACAGCTTTCCCTAGAGCCTAGTCTCCATTGGTGTTGGACCAGACGATGCCAAAAGGCGCACAACTCAAAGACAGCGCACCATCAGAGTACTGAGAGCTCGGGGCAAGCACTTACACTATGAGACATCTCCTTTACCAGTGGCAAAATATAGGTGTAGGGTTTTACCCTTTCAACTGGTACAAAAACTGACACCTTTATACAAGGCATCATGTTTGCAATAACCAGATGATCTGGTCCAACACCAATGGAGACTGGGCTCTAAGAAAAGCTGTCTCGGGTGTGGACCAATCAACTTCAAGGATAGTGCCTACATTATCAGAGTTGTTTCTTTTTGTTTGCATTTTGACTGCTTGTGTTGTGGTTATTGCAAACATGATGCCTTGTATGAAGGTGTCAGTTTTTGTACCAGTTGAAAGGGTTAAAACCTATCACTATATTTTGCCACTGGTAAAGGAGGTCTCATAGTGTAGATGAGATATTACGAATATCACGACGCACACTCAACCACAAAGACAAAGATCCCCCGCATAGCATTAACAGACTGTTGGGGCAAGTGCTGTTAGCGAGCACCTATGAAGGCCGGCACGGCGCACGAGGGAGTGGGTGGCCAGCACCACACCCGGCCGCCTTTGTCTCCCCAGTGGCGATGTTTACACATGGCACCCAAGTACTAATTTGAGGCTGAATACACACACACATACACGACTCACAGGAGATTTGAGGGTAGATTCCTCAGCCTCATCCCGGTAATCAGGATTCACCTGCACACAACAAACGGCAGCAGCAGACAGCTGTGCTTTAAATTTCGATGTAAAGCTTTCGTGACTGCAGGCATTCATCTTCTTGGTTCTTTCGGTAAAGTCACGTAGAAGGGAAATAATAATAAAATAATAAAAATAAAACATAGTAAAATTATTTTATTATGTTTAAAATAAAAAGTCACGTAGAAGGGAAATAATAAAATAATAAAAATAAAACATAATTAAATAATTGTATTATGTTTTATTTTAAACATAATAAATAATAATAAAACAATAAAATAATTTTATTATGTTTAAAATAAAAATAAAACACAATAATTTTTTTTTATTATGTTTAAAATAAAACATAATAAAAAATTTTTATTCTGTTTTATTGTTATTATTTTATTATTTCTCTTCTACATGACTTTACCGAAAGAACCAAGAAGAAGCTGTGTTTATATTTGATGCATTCCCTCTCGGCCGTTATAATCCAAATGCCGGGCAGAGGCATTGCCAAAAAATAATAATATCAGCCGTTCATTGTGATTTATATTACGTGACATAAACCCCCGCCCCCTCTCCGGTCGTCGCACCTGATTGGCCCGCAAGTGTGGACGTCACATTCACCCCTCGAATTGAGAAACGTAACAGGAGGAGGAGGAGGTTTCCTCCACAATTCTGGCCGTCGCCTGATGATGCCGGTTGCTGTAATCACCGGAGGAACGGCTTTCGGTGCTCGAATTGCAAACGTCGTGGGTTTACTCTCCAAAACACCGGTGTGTGCTCAAGCAGTAACCTACGTATTATATTCACGCGATAGAACCCGAAAACAAACGTCCCCCCTGCCCTAGTCATGGCCTTGCCAAAAAGTCCACTCTTCACGGTCCCTCTCGAGGCTGCCCGGGGCGGCAACGCGGCCGGCCGGGCGGCGGGGTGGTGGTGTGGTGGTGTGTCGGTGTGTCGGTGTGTCGGTGTGGTGGTGTGGTGGTGTGTCGGTGTGTCGGTGTGGTGGTGTGGTGGTGTGGTGGTGTGGTGGTGTGGTGGGGTGTGGTGGGTGGTGGTGGTGGGGTGGTGGGGTGGTGGGGTGGTGGTTTGGTGGTTTGGTGGTGTGGGGGTGTGGTGGTGTGGTGGTGTGGTGGTGTGGTGGTGTGGTGGTGTGGTGGTGTGGTGGGGTGGTGGTGTGGTGGTTTGGTGGGGTGGGGGTGTGGTGGTGTGGTGGTGTGGTCGTGTGGTGGGGTGGCGGTGTGGTGGTGTGGTGGTATGTGGTCGGGTAGGTGGGGTGGTGGGGTGGTGGTGTGGTGGGGTGGTGGTGTGGTGGTTTGGTGGGGTGGGGGTGTGGTGTGTGGTGGTGTGGTCGTGTGGTGGGGTGGTGGGGTGGTGGTGTGGTGGGGTGGTGGTGTGGTGGTGTGGTGGGGTGGTGGTTGGTGGTGTGGTGGTGTGGTTGTGTGGTGGTGTGGTGGTGTGGTGGTGTGGTGGTGTGGTGGTGGGTGGTGTGGTGGTGTGGTGGTGTGGTGGGGTGGTGGGTGGTGGTTTGGTGGGGTGGGGGTGTGGTGGTGTGGTGGTGTGGTCGTGTGGTGGGGTGGGGTGTGGTGGTGTGTGGTGGTGTGGTGGTGTGGAGGGGTGGTGGTGTGGTGGTGTGGTGTGTGGTGGGGTGGTGGGGTGGTGGTGTGGTGGGTGGTGGTTGTGGTGGTGTGGGTGGGGTGGGGGTATGTGGTGGTGTGGTGGTGTGGTAGTGTGGTGGTGTGGTGGTGTGGTGGTGTGGTGGGGTGGTGGGGTGGGTGGTGTGGTGTGTGGTGTTGTGGAGGGGTGGCGGTGTGGCGGTTGTGGCGGGGTGGTGGGGTGGTGGGGTGGTGGGGGTGGTGGTGTGGTGGGGTGGTGGGGTGGTGGGGTGGTGGTGTGGTGGTGTGGTGGGGTGGTGGTGTGGTGGGGTGGGTGGGGTGGTGGGGTGGTGGGGTGGTGGGGTGGGGGGTGGGGGGTGGTGGTGTGGTGTGTGTGTGTGGTGGGGTGGTGGTGTGGTGGTGTGGTGGTGGGGTGGGTGGGGTTGGTGGGGTGGTGGTGTGTGGTGGTGTGGTGGTGTGGTGGTGTGGTGGTGTGGTAGGGTGGTGTGTGGGGGGTGGTGGGTGGGTGGGGTGGTGGTGTGGTGGTGTGGTGGGGGTGGTGGTGTGTGGTGGGGTCGGTGGGGTGGTGGGGTGGTGGGGTGGTGGGTGGTGGTGTGGTGGGGGTGGTGGTGGTGTGGGGTGTGGTGGGTGTGGGGTGGTGGGGTGGTGGGGTGGTGGTGTGGTGGTGTGTGGTGGGGTGGTGGTGTGGTGAGGGTGGTGGGTGGTGGTGTGGTGGGGTGGTGGTGTGGTGGGGTGGTGGGGTGGTGGTGTGGTGGGGTGGTGGGGTGGTGGTGTGGTGGGGTGGTGGTGTGGTGGTTGTGGTGGGGTGGGGGTGTGGTGGGGTGGGGGTGTGGTGGTGTGGTGGTGGGTGGTGTGGTGGGGTGGGGGTGTGTCGGTGTGTAGGTGTGTCGGTGTGGTGGTGTGGTGGGGTGGGGGTGTGTCGGTGTGTCGGTGTGGTGGTGTGGTGGTGTGGTGGTGTGGTGGTGTGGTGGGGTGGTGGGGTGGTGGAGTGGTGGAGTGGTGGAGTGGTGGGTGGTGGGGTGGTGGGGTGGTGGTGTGGTGGGGTGGTGGTGTGGTGGTGTGGTGGTGTGGTGGGGTGGGGGTGGGTGGTGGTGGTGTGGTGGTGTGTGGTGTGGTGGTGTGGTGGGTGTGGTGGGTGGTTGGTGTTGGTGGTGTGGTGGTGTGGTGGGGTGGGGGTGTTGTGTCCGGTGTGTCGGTGTGGTGGTGTGGTGGTTGGTGGTGTGGTGGGGTGGTGGGGTGGTGGAGTGGTGGTGTGGTGAAGTGGTGGAGTGGTGTGTGGTTGGTGTGGTGGTGTGGTGGGGTGGTGGGGTGGTGGAGTGGGTGGTGTGGTGGAGTGGTGGAGTGGTGGTGTGGTGGGGTGGGGGTGTGGTGGTGTGGTGGTGTGATGGTGTGGTGGTGTGGTTGGGTGGTGGGTGGTGGTGGTGGTGGTGGGTGGGTGGTGGGGTGGTGGAGTGGTGGTGTTTGGTGTGTGTGGGTGGTGGTGTGGTGGTGTGGTGGGGTGGTGGGGTGGTGGAGTGGGGGTGTGGTGGTTGTGGGTGTGTGGTGGTGTGGTGGGGTGGTGGTGTGGTGGGGTGGTGGGGTGGTGGTTTGGTGGTGTGGGGGGTGGGGGTGTGTGGTTGTGGTGGTGTGGTGGTGTGGGGTGTGGTGGGGTGGGTGTGTGTGTCGGTGTGTCGGTTGTGTCGGTATGGTGGTCGGGTGGTGGGGTGGTGGTGTGGTGGTGTGGTGGGGTGGTGGTGTTGGTGGGGTGGTGGGGTGGTGGTGTGGTGGGGTGGTGGTGTGGTGGTGTGGTGGGGTGGGGGTGGTGGGTGGGTGTGGGGTGTGGTGGTGTGGTGGTGTGGTGGTGTGGTGGGGTGGGGGTGTGTCGGTGTGTCGGTGTGTCGGTTTGTGGTGGTGTGGTGGGGTGGGGGTGTGTCGGTGTGTCGGTGCGGTGTGGTGGTGTGGTGGTGTGGTGGTGTGGTGGGGTGGTGGTGTGGTGGAGTGGTGGTGTGGTGGAGTGGTGGAGTGGTGGTGTGGTGGGGTGGTGGGGTGGTGGTGTGGTGGGGTGGTGGTGTGGTGGTGTGGTGGTGTGGTGGGGTGGTGGTGTGGTGGGGTGGTGGTGTGGTGGTGTGGTTGGGTGGTGGTGTGGTGGTGTGGTGGTGTGGTGGGGTGGGGGTGTGTCGGTGTGTCGGTGTGGTGGTGTGGTGGTGTGGTGGTGTGGTGGGGTGGTGGGGTGGTGGAGTGGTGGTGTGGTGAAGTGGTGGAGTGGTGGTGTGGTGGTGTGGTGGTGTGGTGGGGTGGTGGGGTGGTGGAGTGGTGGTGTGGTGGAGTGGTGGAGTGGTGGTGTGGTGGGGTGGGGGTGTGGTGGTGTGGTGGTGTGGTGGTGTGGTGGTGTGGTTGGGTGGTGGTGTGGTGGTGTGGTGGTGTGGTGGGGTGGTGGGGTGGTGGAGTGGTGGTGTGGTGGTGTGGTTGGGTGGTGGTGTGGTGGTGTGGTGGTGTGGTGGGGTGGTGGGGTGGTGGAGTGGGGGTGTGGTGGTGTGGTGGTGTGGTGGTGTGGTGGGGTGGTGGTGTGGTGGGGTGGTGGGGTGGTGGTTTGGTGGTGTGGTGGGGTGGGGGTGTGGTGGTGTGGTGGTGTGGTGGTGTGGTGGGGTGGGGGTGTGTCGGTGTGTCGGTGTGTCGGTATGGTGGTGTGGTGGGGTGGTGGTGTGGTGGTGTGGTGGTGTGGTGGAGTGGTGGTGTGTCGGTGTGGCAGGGCTCGTGGTTCAAGGCCAGGAGAGCCACCCCTGACAACGCTGCGAGATTTTTCCGTTTGTCCGAACGTAAACTAAAAACTTTTTTCTTTTTACTTACCAGGTAAGACCCACAAATGAGCTGTGAGACTCTTTTTTTCAGAAGCGGCCTGGCCATCACGGATGGATGGCTCAGCGAAGTGGCTCGTCGCTGTGTGTGGAAATGTCTAGCAGCCAAATGACTCTAAACGCGCTACGTTGATTCTAAACGTGCGGGGAAAAATCCGTAGGACCCGGAGAAGAGAAACCACGTGACCACGGTGATCGAACCCACGACCTCCAGTATACCAGGCGAGGTAGTTAACATCTCGCCACAGTGGCACCACATTCCATGGTGTTATCCTAAATGCTCTTAGTTCTTGCGGTAAAGTCACGTAGGTAATAAAATGAAATTAAAATGAATAAAAATAAAACAATAAAAATCACGACGTTGCGGAGGCAACACAAGCTTCCGTCTTCAGGTGAAACTGTCACAGCAAAATATCTGTAGCCTTATATAGTGGTTCAAGGGGGGAGGAGCCAGGAAGGGCAGCGGGGGAGGAGGAGTTGTGAAGTGGTCAATTACTGCTTTTGTTATACTGCTGGGTGGCAGTGGCGGCTCCTGCAAAATCTCTCAGGGGGGGGGGGGGCAAATGCCTGGATGATTTATAAGGATAAGGTCCACCCATGCAATGGATAAATTAACAGCTTAAGCATGTAAAGGCAACTTCACTTCTTTAATATTAATGAAAAATAAAGTGACTCTTACAATACATCTTGTTTGTTTCTATACTCACTATTAATACAATCCACTCAAGTTTCTTTTATTAAAGATTCCACTAGGTGGCGACAAATAAAATTGTTGACTGAAACGTGCTTACGTATGATGACGTAAGCACGTTAGTGCGAGCCCTCCCGGAAGCCATAGAGAATGCATTGCAGCGCCCCCCGTTCGAAAAAAAAACATCTTTGAATGTAAGTCTATGGGAACACTCGGGGCGATTCTCTGCCGGATTGAAATCGCCCAAAAAGAGGCGGTACTCCACAGAACGTGACATGACGCTGATTGGACTATATCCAGAGGCACAGTGACGGCTAGCGTGACTCTGTGGTTGAATGACATTGGTGGTGCGTCGCCCAATCGCCCTAATGAAGAAACCGCCCCTGCTGGGTGGGTAAATTAATTAAATACGATTAAGCCGCTTTTTGTTATGCTGTTTGTGCGCAAGTCACTGTGGGATGAATGGAACGTATCGGGAGGGGGGGGGGGGCTAACAGAGGCACGTGACTTTACCGAAAGAACTAAGAATATGAATCCTTGCAGTCACGAAAACTTCAAATCTAGAAGTGTTATCCTAAAACCACGGAGAATTTTTTCCCCCCTCATTACTGTGATTGTCCCGGGCAGTGGTGGTGCTGCCTGTAGTGATTCACTGCGGAGGCAGCAGCAGTAGCAAGGGTTGGTAGATCACAGCACTCATACACAAAGATGTTGTTGTTGTCACACTCCCCTTCATTCATGGGAAAGCGGAATTTCGCAACATCATCATACCCTGGTTGGTCAGGAGGAGGCGGTACAGCAGAGTGTGGATTAATCGAGTGCGGATTAATCGCCATTTGTTTATTAATCACCACCTGTATGGGGATCGAGCGTTGCTCCCCTCTCTCGCGCAAGGCACCACCTGTCACTTCCTCTGACATATTCCTCCTTGAGGATCTCAGGATTTTCACGAAAGTCGCCGCGCGGCTGGATTACGACGCGGCGGCAAGTCGCAACCCCGTGGTAACGTCGCGACCCCGTGGTAACGTCGTGACCCCTGGGTAACATCGCGACCCCGTGGTATAATCGCGACCCCGTGGTAACGTCGCGACCCCGTGGTAACGTCGTGACCCCGTGGTAACGTCGCGAGCCCGGGGTAATGTCGCGACCCCGTGGTAACGTCGCGAGCCCGGGGTAACATCGTGACCCCGTGGTAACGTCGCAGCCCTGGGGTAACATCGCGACCCAGTGGTAACGTCGCGATCCTGTGGTAACGTCGCGACCCCGTGGTAACGTCGCGACCCCGTGGTAACGTCGCGACGCCGTGGTAACGTCGCGACCCCGTGGTAAAGTCGCGACCCCGTGGTAACGTCGTGACCCCATGGCAACATCGCGACCCCGTGGTAACGTCGCTCACCTCCGCCGCCAGGTAGTTGCCCGTCGCCAGGTGCTTGAAGCGGAAGAGGCTGTTCCAGTGCCCGGCGCCGCCCCTGCAGGGGTCGTGATGAACCACCTGTGGGCAACATCAACAATGGCAGCAGCGTCCGTTCAGAATTCAACACCGAGACACGGCGGCGGCGGCGACGTCACCGCGGCACACGAGCGTGCCAGGCTAGGTGCGCTTTGAGGCCGTCACCGCGTGAAGTGCGGAAGGGTCGCTGCCGCCGGCCGGCTGACCATCGGTCGCGGGACGGGACCCAGGGTGCATTGCGTTTGCCGACCGAGATGACAGACGCACCGCCTGCGCCCCCCCACCACGTTTTGAGCGATGTGGGGCGAGCGGCGAGTTAGAGGGGTGAGCGGTGGGGGGGGGGGTGGGGGGTCTCCTGAAAGCGGCGGCACGACACCCTCCTAGCCCCCCCCCCCCCCCCCTCGTGCAGGAACAGAGCTGCTGTTTAAGTCACGAGCTCAAGGGGCAAAGGAGCGAGAGTTTGAGGACAGAAGGTCCCCATTCCTACTGAGCCGGGCAGTGAGGTGTGCACACAGGGGAGGGAGGGGGACGGGCGCTTGGGGTATCACCCCCCCAGAGAGGTGTTAGTCACTGCTCTGAGGGATATTTAACGATCATAAGTGAGTTGCGGCCGTTACGTCCGCAAATTTGTGCGCGTTATAAATTACATTCTTATTATTACTCGGCGTGCGTGGGTTACTTTGTTACGAGTGTAGGTATGTTGAACTTCTTTCGCACCGTACGTAGCTAACCGTGATAATCGGATTGCAAAGGACAACAAACTCTGTATGTTGAACTGACTTTGGGCTTCGGTCGTCCGCGGAATTTCTGTACCCCCCTTGTTACGGTTTGTGCTTTGTCCCAGGCTCGTGTCAAAGAAACAATGAAAAACATTATTTTAAACAATTTTTATTTTACAAAGTAAGGCCGCATTGAGCTGTGTAGTTCTTTTTATGAAGCGACCCAGCGTTCACAAATGACAGCTCAACGAAGTGGCCCATCATCGCGCGGAAATGTACAGCAGCCAAATACCCCGAACCCGTGATGTTGATTCTAAATGTGGAGGGAAAAGCTGAAGGGACCGAACCCACGACCTCCCGGTACACCAGCAGAGGTCGTTAACACCTCGCCACAGCGACGCGCAAAAAGTGTGAGCGTGGGGGGGGGGGGAGCGAGGGTGGCCTCTGACCTCCACCTCCCAGAGTGCTTTGGAGCTGGTGGCGGATGACGCCGACTGACGCCCGGTGGTGCGCAAGAACACGTGCTGCTTCTTGCGGTACTCGTCGCACGTCAGGAACTTCTCCTGCTCCGCGTGGAACAGGCGGACCACGTCTCCCTGTGTGGCACGCACGCACAGAGCCAACGATCAACCCCCTCCGGCCCGACCGCAAAGCCTTCACCAGGCCGTTGGGGCGAGCGCTGTTGACCCCGTTCCCGTTCCGATGACGTACGCGTGCGCGCGCGCGTGACGGACGACAATGCTGCCGCGTGTCCCCAGGGGGGGAGGTGGGAGGGCGGGGGGTGGGGGGCGGTCGTGGACTCACCCCCTTGAGGATGTCGTCCTTGTTCTCGCAGTACTTCATGAACAGCGTGATCTTCCAGCTCGTGTTGCAGTTCACCGAGTTCACCTGCACGGCCACGGCGCGACGGCGACAACGGCGTCACGAAGGCGCTGCGATGCTGGACGCTCACAAAAGTCTGCGGCAACCGAGGTTATATAGCCCCTCGTCCCGTACTACAGCAGGCGTCGTGGCCGGGATCGAACCCACGGCCTCCTGCGTACCTGGCGAGGTAGTTAACATCTAGCCACCGTGATGATGAGAGAGAGAGACACGCAAACTTCAAATATACAGCAGCAGGCGTTGTGAACGGGATCGAACCCACGGCCTCCTGCGTACCTGGCGAGGTAGTTAACATCTAGCCACCGTGATGATGAGAGAGAGAGACACGCAAACTTCAAATATACAGCAGCAGGCGTTGTGAACGGGATCGAACCCACGGCCTCCTGCGTACCAGGCGAGGTAGTTAACATCTCCTAGCCACCGTGATGATGATAAGAGAGAGACACGCAAACACCAAACATACAGCAGGCGTCGCGGTCGGGATCGAACCCACAACCTCCTGCGTACCAGGCGAGGTAGTTAACATCTCCTAGCCACCGTGATGATGAGAGAGAGAGAGACACACAAACTTCAAATATACAGCAGGCGTCGCGGTCGGGATCGAACCCACAACCTCCTGCGTACCAGGCGAGGTAGTTAACATCTCCTAGCCACCACGGCGCCCCAACGGCTCATCTGCGAAGCGGTGGCTCGGCCGAACACGAGAGAAGCGTTCGAAATCGCAACGAGACATTAAATTGCAACAACGATATCGTCTCGGTCACGGTTACGCACGGTCGCACTTGCGAGGTCAACTCGGTGAATGCGGCGGTGCGCGCCACCTTCACGAAGCATCCCCTTTAATCCGCTGAGGCTATAAGGGGGGTGGGGGGGGGGTTCTTTGTCTTTCTGCAAGACGCACCAACTGTGCACAGTGAGGGAGCACAGGTGGGTGCATCTCACCAGCCATTTCACTCAGTCAACCCATTGCAAAGCTGGGTCTGTTACATGGCCTCAAAGCGCACCTAGGCTGGCACCGGCGCCACGCGGTGATAACAACCATAACTCGGTTAAAGGGGTTACTGTTGAACATGTTAACGTTCAAATCAGTCGTCGTCATCGTCGTCATCATCATCAGCAGCCGTGATCGATCCGCTGCTGGATAAAGGCCCAGTCGACCAGTGGCGTCCTCCTCAACGTCCCATCAGAGGACCACGACGTGTGCCGGGGATGGTTCACCTCCTTGCAGCCCAGGTTGTCCACCAGCTCGTAGTTGCTGGCGTGCAGCGGCTGCCCGGCGTTCACCGGGTTCAGCACCACCTTGTCGCCCAGCACCACCTGCGGCAGACACAGCGCATCGCACCGGGCACCGGCTCGACCGAATGTGTCGTGAGATATTGCTCGCAATCATCCTCACCGGCCAGAATCATAGAGACAGAGAGAGGGAGAGAGAGAGACAGCCAGATGGGATTCGCACGAACCGCTACACCCTCTGCTTGCCATGCATAAATGCAAAAAACAAAGGTAAAGATCTCCCGTGTAGCCTGAACAGACTGTTGGGGCAAGTACTGTTAGTGAGTAGCACCTATGAAGGCCGGCACGGCACACGAGGGGGTGGGTGGCCAACACCACGCCCGACCGCCTTTGTCTCCCCAGTGGCGATGTTTACACAGCGCACGAGGTACTAATTTGAGGCTGAGTGGACTTAGGGGACGCCTATGTCGATGACCGGTTCAGGTAATCGTCACCGGCGTTGGTGGCTGTCAGCGGGAAATTGAACTCGGGTGGCCGAGCTCGTAGCACCGTGTGAGCTAACCACTGCAAAGGAAAGGATCCTGCGTATAGCATCAACAGACTGCTGGGGCAAGTGCACACACACATACACACGCACGTACACACACAGCTGCAACGCCGACGCTGTGTCATAGGAACAGTGGGAGGGGGGGGGTCAGAAGTCAACGGAGGTCAGAGCGGGAATGTGTGTGAGACGAGAGGCGACTTCTCCACCGACGTGATCGGGAAGACGTCTCCACCGGCACGGACAAGTAAACTGCCTGGAGGTGCATCTGACGTGTTTACACCAAGCTCTAACCGGAGTGGGGGGGGGGGGGGGTCAGGCGGCGCAGTGTGGGAATGTCGGACGCGTCGTGCGGCTGACTCAAGCCTCAGCCAAAGGGTGACACCGCGTCAGGCGCAGGCGACGCGAGCGGCGGTGAGCCGGAGGTTCGATTCCAAGGCCGTGGCTCGGGATCGAGCGGTACGGTAGCCGGCCCTGCGCTAACCAGCCGTGGTGAAGTGCGGTCAGACAGTCCACGTGACTCACACGGCGCAGGGAGGCCTACGTTTGGCAGCGGATTGACAAAGCGCCGGACATCATAATCATCACGATGACAATCGCCGTCTTCTCCAGAATGCGCGAGCAATTAAATGAATCGCCGAGGGACCGAGCGACGAGCTGCGGCGCGAACCAACACAATCGCCCGAGCTCTGCGATCCTCCGCACGCGAAGATGTTTCCAGCCCGACCGAAAGAGAGTTGTTTCACACAGAAGCAGGCGCCTGTCGAATCGTCGTATCGCGGGATCATGGAGCAGCGGCAGCGGCGGCAGCAGCAGCTTGCTGGGAGGACTTCATCCGGCAGTGGATTGAGCATGGCCGATGATAACCAGCGATGATGATGGCATTGCAATTGTTTTTCGAGTCGCAAACGGTCGCTGTCGTGCGCCCGTTCCAAATCGATGAGGATTTCTGGATGAGGTCATTCCGAGGGCATTTGTTTGCGATGGCCATTCACCCTCAACAGCCCTGCCCACCGCCCTCTTGCCTACCAGCGATCAGCCTCCCTCTGCCACCTCTTGCCTCTCCATGTCCACGGCTCTGGTCCCAGGGTAATTGACGGCTGGACATTTCTACGTGATGATAAGCCACCTCGTTGAGCTATCTTTCGTGGCCAGGTCACTTCTAAAAGAGAGCTACATTGCTCAGTGGGTCTTGCATGGTACAATAAAAAAATGTGTTTAGTTCATAGTAAATAGTAGTTCGGGCGAGCCAGGGTACGGGAATCTCATCGACGCCCACGGGAAGGAAGGGAATTTCGCAACACGTGCTTCTTCCACAGTGCTGCACGCGGACTATCTGGCTTGTTCATAATCAACGTGTTTGGGTTAGATCGCGTTATTTATAAATGTGTCGCAACCCTCCACCACCCGACACGGCCAATCAGCAAAAAAAGTGTCATGTTGACAAAAGACAAATAGTTCACTGCTTTAGCCCACCGGTGTGTTGAAGCGTGAAACCACAGCATGTACAATTTTTGAGCACGAAGTTTCGCTGGTAATTGCATCCAGCATCATCGGGCAATTCCCCAGAATGGTGAGCCTCTGCTCTGGCTCCCGGTCTTAAATAGAGCACCAGCAGCAGGGTGACGTCATCATTTTACTCATCAGGTGCAACGATTTGAGGCGGAGGGGGGGGGTTATTGTAATAATATACTCTGGTCTCCTTGGTTATTTCGGTAAAGTCACGTAGAATGGAAATAATAAAATAATAAAAATAAAACATAATAAAATAATTCTCACGACGTTTCGGCCACAACGCAAAGTCACTACGTGACTTTACCGAAAGAACCAAGGAGATGAATCCCTGCAGTCACGAAAGCTTTAAATCGAAATATATACTCTGGCTTAACCGCCCGAATGTCAAATTGTAGCCGTTGCTCAGCCATCTGCATCATCAGCAGCCGTACGAAGGATGAACGAGTGCAACACGACAGGCCGCATCCAGCGGGCCATCAGCGGCGGGATTTTTACGCGAAAATGTGGAGGCTGGACGCGCCGTTCAGGACGAGCCACCGTCTCGTCACCGTCTCCCTGGACCACGCTTTCGTGACTGCAGGGATTACTCTTTGGTTCTTTCGGTAAAGTCACGTATAAAGATAAAATAATAAATTAAATAATAGCATACTACGACGTTTCGATTGCAACACAAGCAATCATCATCAGGTATAAAAGAAGTAGCAACAAAAATCTAACCAGAAAACTATAGACAGACATATAAGCAGACAGACATCACAAAGATACACAGAGAGAGAACACGTATCGGCACAAAGAGAGAGATCGTTTCTGTGACGAGGCCTTAAATAGAGAAAGGGGGGCGGGGGCGGAGAGAGGGAGGGGGCAAAGAAAAAAATAGCATGTCAATGAGTGCGACGACGCGTGGTACGGTACGCAAGCTTGAAAATTAGGTGAACGGGAGAGAGACACACTAAATTTAAATAACCTAGCAAAATATCGAAATGTAATGTAATGCAACACAGAGAGTCGGTCAACACACAATTAACGCATAGCCTGGTTAATGCCTCGATGTGCCAGCTCCGTCGGTCTTCTAACGGTGGGGGTGGGGGGGGGGAGCGGGCATTGGTGGGGGAGTGGGGGGGGAGCTGGCATTGGTGGGTGGGTGGGGGGGGGAGCTCGTTGTGCCGGCTGCAGATTGCCCGTCGTTCTGTTAATTACCGCCCCCCCCCCCCAACTCCTGCCCCCCAACCCCTCCTGGCCCCCAATTCTCATCGGGTTTGAGCAAAAGAGCCGAGGGCTGGCCCCTAATCGAGCCATCCCACCCACCCCCCCACCACCCGCGGACTCTACACACAACATTAGCGGGTGGTGCGCGGATAATATTCTTGATTTGATTTTAAGGCGAGCTGATAATCTGCTTGGTGCAGGGTGCCAAGCTGGCAAAGCATTGCCAGAGCACGGAACGGGGTTTTTCTTTGCAGCATGACGAAAGGGGATAAAGGCGCAGCCCTGCAACTGCTTGCTCACACCACCACCACCACGACATCACCACCATAACCACCACTACAACAACCACCGCCACAGCTATCACCACTACTACCACCACCACCACTAAACCACCACTACCACTACCAAAACTACCACAACCACCGCCACCGCTATCACCACAACTATCACTACCAAAAACAGACAAGGATCCCCTGTATAGCCTTAACAGACTGTTGGGGCAAGTGCTGTTAGCACCTATGAAGGCGGGAACGGTACATGAGAGGGTGGGTGTGTTTTTCTCTCTTCTCATCCTCATCACGATGGCTAGGAGATGTTAACAACGTCGCCTGGTATACAGGAGGTTGTGGGTTCGATCCCCACCCTGACGCCTGCTGCTGTATATTTGGAATTTGCGTGTCTTTTTCCCCGTGGTGGTCACGTAGATTTTTCTCTCCGGGTTTTCCCTCCAAATTTATAATCAACGTGCGTTCAGAGGATTTGGCTGCTATGAATTTCCACGCGATAAGCCACTCCGTCGGGCTATCATTGGTGGCCAGGTCTCGTCTGATAAAGAGCTGTAAAGCTAAACGGGGCCTTACCTGGTTAAATAAAAATAAAGTAAAATATTTTAGTAACTGCTGAGCTCTGTGCAACATTGATGTCTCCAAACCGCCGCTGGAGCGACGGTGACACTAATCCACGTTTCATTCCGAAAGTTTTAATCCGCAGACCTCTGCTGGAACATTCCACTCTCACCACCTTCGCCGTTGTTGTTGTCATGTTTTTTTTTTCCGCTCCGTTGCGGGAGACGGCCGGCCGCCTGCTGTTATGATGTTTGATATTTTACGATGTTTCATATTTACGATGTTTAAACCCTCCGCGTTGATTCGCGCTAGCAACTGCTTTTGATGTCACCCGTGTTTAACTCTGCGCTTTGATTTGCTGCAGTCGAACATATTTGCCGCGATGTAATATTCACGACATTTAACCGTGCCATGACAATACGTTTACCGTATTCTACGGATTTACAAGACACACTTTGAAATATTTGATTTTAAAGCAAAAGTTACAATATGTTACGTGTCTCAGCCCGCGTGCCACTCATGCCACTGACCATGCAGGAGACGTTCCACCGGTACTGCGCATAAACTCAAGTGAAAAAAAAACCTCATTGTTTTCACTCGGAATGCGACGACGCACCGTGAAGCGCCGCTTGCCGGTACCGCCGCAGCGTTGAGCGCTGGTCTAGCCACACCACGCGCCCGGCCCGGCGCTGTGGGCTCATCGCCCGGGTTATCGTAGGGCCCTGTGGTCCGCCGCGTAGCCTCCGTCGCTCTGTTTCCGACACATTTATATTATCTAACCAATCTAACCCCAAAAAAACTATATTATGGATGACAATGGTCGCGAAAGCCTGTTAAACGGGGGGGGGGGGGGGGGGGTAACACCTGTGAGTGGGACGGTCGGTCGATGAATTAATCCGGGCTAAGGCCCGTTGACGGGGAAAGACGCTGTGCGTCTGAGAGGCGACACATTCGATGCAAGCGACGTCACCTGACCTTCTGCCGCGCCTTTCATCCGGGAGAATAACGGCGGTCATGTTTGATCAACTCCTGTTGGAAAATGAGACTTCAGGTCTCTCAATAATAGTAATAATAAATATATAATGCGAGTTGAACGCGCGGGCTTTCGCGACCAATATCATTCATAATAAAGGTTTTTGGGCTAGATCGCCTAAGTATAAATGTGTCGTAAACCTCCGGTAAGGTTTGTCACGTAAACAAAGCGCCGATTAGTGACTACGTCAGCCCACCGGTGTAAATCCACAACATTTACAATCTGAGTAGTTCGACGTTTCGCTGGTATTTACAGCAACCGGCATCATCGGGCGAACTGGCAGAATAGTGAAGCAATGCACCTGCTTCCCGTTTTAAATATAGAAAGATGACGTCATCACATTATTTATAATACGAGTTTACAGTCCTTTGTAAATGCACTGCCGGATGAAAGCCTTCCATCATGTGATGTGGATTCATGGGGAGTTGCTCAAGCATCCTGGCCTTAAAATAAGAACATTGAGTTGAATATTGGAATTGAGTGTAAGAAACTAATAAAAATTATGTTTAAAAAAATATCAGACAAAATTTAACATTTTAATTCGTGTCTGCAAGTTGGTGCCACATAGAGGCAGTATCGTTCATTTAACCGCGAGATTAAATCAACCCGATGACATGTGTGAAACGCCGTTGCCTCTTTGATAAGAGTGGCCTGGGACCCATATCTTAAACAGAGGGTCATTTAACCCATAAAATATGTCAGTTAACCAGCATTAATTTTGAAGCAGGCCCTGATTCTGCTGACGAGACACCGTCCGGCGAAAACTGGTCCAGAATTTTTTGCTTGCATTTGAACCAATGCCGCTGGAATTTGCGCACTCACAGAAGGCCGTTGGGCGGATGGGTAATGTAAGAAATGTTTTTTTAATATATAAATGGGGAGAAAGACGGATACACGGTGTCGGCTAATCTATTTTTAAATCCTTTATATTAAATCACTTGCTTGCTTGCGCGCTTACGACCGTGCAAATCTTTTGGTCGTTTTTTAACCCACTTCCCGGTATCCAATCGAGCTGACATTTTGCACACAGACTCGTGCGTGACAATTTATTTTCGTGAAATTTTTTTCCCAAAATTTTCCACTTTTTAGGAAAAAAAAAATTCGTATTTAATTTAAAATACCAATGTGATAAAAATGAAAATCTTACTCAAGAAAAACAGAAATGAATAATAAAATAAAACCGATGCCACGCATATAAAGGATTTATAGTGAAAAACTTTGTTTTTACGGGTTAATTTTTCATCTGCGTGACAAGTGATTTGGTGATTTCGCCGCCGCGTTCCGCGTCGGCAGCGGCGCGCAATCACAAAAGCCAACAACCAAACGCTCAACTCGTTCGTAAAATAACAGTGTGTGAGTCCTTAAAAGGAAACAGAATGTATAACGGGTGACAATTGGCGAAACTGCCCTCCAGCACGGCTCATGAAGCCGGGGCCATGTGTTTTTTTAACAGGCTGAAACTTAGCCTATTAAACAGTTTAAAGGCCACCAAGCAGCTGTTATTGATGAATGAGTTGAGTTTTTCTCCACAACTTTGTCCATTAATAATCTCCACAACTACGCCAGTGATTAAATTCGCTCCAATTTTGAGGATAAAAAAACCTACACACGTGTATATATATATATACTATTTACATTTAAACCAACCGCGACCAAATGTAAACTTCATTAAATTGTGACAAAGATTGAACCGGGCTAAAGCAAATAAGATTAAAATGTGGTTTAACACAGTTTTTCTTTGGGTTAGATCACGATCCAACCCAAAAAAAAACTGTATATAACCTAAAAAAACCTGTATTATGGAAGAATATTTTTTGCAATAAAAACAAATATTCAATGCGAGAAAAATGATGTCATTTTCGGAAAGGAAAGTCATTAGCGTTGGGCTTACCTTCCCATAACAATCTTAAATTTTAAATGGAAAAAAAGTCAACTTTCTTGTTATTTATTTTGTTTACCACTTATCCTTCTCGTGCTATTCGTTGCACTCTGATGCACTTTATTTCGTGCTCGCGGTCACGATTTACTCTGCTCAGTCGTCGTTCGCCGCTGAGGGGGTGACGGGTTTCTTGTTCCATTCCTGTTTGTTGAAATTCCTGTGTATTTTATACCAGTTTTCATTCCTTTTTTCATTCCTGTTCGCTCCGTGCTCCCCCGGCACCGTTCCCCGCCACGATCACTGTGGGCGTGATGGGTTTCTTGTTTTCATTCCTGTTTGTTGAAATTCCTGTGTATTTCATTCCAATTTTCATTCCTTTTTTCATTCCTGTTCGCTCCATGCTCCCCCGGCACCGTTCTCTGCCACGATCGCTGTGGGCGTGACGGATTTCTTGTTTTCATTCCTGTTTTTTTCCCATTCCTGTTTGTTTCATTCCAGTTTTCATTCGTATTTTCATTCATGTTCGCTCCATTATCCCCCCGGCACCGTTTCCATTCCCCGCCACTATCGCCGAGGGCGTGACGGGTTTCTTGTTTTCGTTCCCCTTTGTTTTCATTCCTATTTTCATTCACGTTCGTTCCATGCCCTCCGCCCCCTGCCCCGGTACCATTCCCGCTCCGCTGTAATGCGCTGATTTATTTGATTTGTTTGAGGCAATCGCGAGGCGAATGGAGAAAATTTGCAACGGGGAAATTCGTGATGAAATGTTCACAGGATTGCCCGAGGCATAGCCGGTTTATACGGTCAAAAAACAAACCGAATAATTCCGCACGGGGGTTCAAGCATCAAACGTTACTGCTGTCATCAAGGGGAGAAATAAAAAAGGAAACAGATGCGTCTCTCGGATTAAATATTCATCAGCACGTTAAATGAGGGTAATGCTGCATAATAATAATACTACTGAGGGCCACGCACAACCGCCCAAAGCCAGCCACACGGGGCTCCGTGAGTTATTAACATTCCTCGCCGTTTACATTAAGAGTCAGATATTAGAATTGTCGCTCAGAGTTAAGTTGCCCCTCGACATTCGCTGGATTGTGAATGACTCCTCATGGAATCACGTGACGTCCACACAGCAACACTCAGCCTCCCCATGTCCCCTCGGCTACAGCTCCTCCACACAGCTACACTCAGCCCCCCCCCCCCCGTGTCCCCTCAGCTACAGCAACAACAACCGTCATTCACCACTAAGTGGCGGTGACGTCACCACGACGCTTGTGCCAGGCCATGTGCACCTTGAGGCCACGTGAAGTGTCGAACGCCCGCTGGCAGGAGGTCACGGGGCAGACCCAGGTGCCACGGGTCGACTGACTGAAATTACCGAGATGACTGGCTGATGCACCACCTGTGCCCCCTACTGGGCTACAGCTCCTCAAGACAGCTACACTCAGCCTCCCCGTGTCCCCTCAGCTACAGCTACTCCACACAGCTACACTCAGCCTCCCCGTGTCCTCTCAGCTACAGCTCCTCCACGCAGCTACACTCAGCCTCCCCGTGTCCTCTCAGCTACAGCTCCTACACACAGCTACACTCAGCCTCCCCGTGTCCTCTCAGCTACAGCTCCTACACACAGCTACACTCAGCCTCCCCGTGTCCCGTCCCCTCGGCTACAGCTCTTCTGCACAGCGCCGTGAGTGAGTGAGCTCGCGAACGAGCGAGTGAGTGATCGAGCGAGTGAGTGAGCGAGTGAGTGAGCTCGCGAGCGAGTGAGCTCGCGAGTGAGCGAGTGAGTGAGTGAGCCCGCGAGTGAGTGAGCGAGTGAGTGAGCGAGTGAGTGAGCGAGTGAATGAGTGAGCGAGCGAGTGAGTGAGTGAGCGAGCAAGTGAGTGAGCTCGCGAGTGAGCAAGCGAATGAGTGAGCGAGCGAGTGAGTCAGCGAGTGAGCGAGTGAATGAGTGAGCGAGCGAGCTCGCGAGTGAGTGAGCGAGCTCGCGAGTGAGTGAGTGAGCGAGCGAGCGAGCTCGCGAGTGAGTGAGCGAGCTCGCGAGTGAGTGAGTGAGCGAGCGAGCGAGTGAGTGAATGAGTGATCGAGCGAGTGAGTGATCGAGCGAGTGATCTCGCGAGTGAGTGAGCTCGCGAGTGAGAGAGTGAATGCTCACGCTATCTCCTGGCGAGCGCAGCTTGTAGAAGGGCTGCACGTAGAACCACGAGCCCTCGTTGCCCGCGCCGTCCAGCGTCACGCGCATGGCGTTCTTCTCCAGCAGCGCCGGCAGCCGCTTGTTCACCGTCAGGTACTTGTTGCTCTTGATGTGCAGCAGCTGGGCGAGGCGCGGCCGGGCGGGAGAAGGAGTGGGACAAACGCGTGGAAGAAGAAGAATAAGAACACACACCCTTTACACCATTGGAACCTCATTTGCCAGTAAAAAAATATGATAATTGTTTTTTTACCCTTCTATCTGGTAACAAAACTGACACCTTTTTTTTACAAGGAGTCATGTTTACATAGACCACAATACCTGCGGTCATAATGCAAACAAAAAACATAACTCTGATAATGATATGCACTGTCCTTGAAGTTGATTGGTCCACACCCGAGACAGCTTTCCTTAGAGCCTAGTCTCACACGGGTGTGGACCAATCAACTTCAAGGACAGTGCATACATTATCAGAGTTATGTTTTTTGTTTGCATTATGACCGCAGGTATTGTGGTCTATGTAAACATGACTCCTTGTAAAAAAGGTGTCAGTTTTGTTGCCACATAGAAAGGTAACAAAAACAATTATCATTTTTTTTACTGGCAAATGAGGTTCCAATGGTGAGGAGGAAGTTGTTAACAATAATCAAGATTGGCATCAAAGGGCAAAGTCGTCGCTGCCACCGCCGTGCCTCCACGCTGCCAACGTGGTCACCCCTCCGCCGGGTTTTGCGGCCGTTGCACCGTAGACACGTGACAGCCAAGATCTGCCTGAATAGCCTCCCACCAACTCTGCTCTTTGGCTCACACAGAGACCCCCCGCCCCCCACTAGACTCACACAGAGACCCATAGACTCACACAGAGATCCATTGACTCACACAGATACCCATAGACTCACAGAGAGACCGATAGACTCACACAGTTACCCATTGACTCACGCAGAGACCCATAGACTCACACAGAGACCCATTGACTCACGTTGAGTTTCCCATAGACTCACACAGAGAGCCAGATACTCACACAGAGACCCATTGACTCACACAGAGACCCATTGACTCACACAGAGACCCATAGACTCACACAGAGACCCATAGACTCAGACAGAGACCCATTGACTCACACAGAGACCCATAGACTCACACAGAGACCCATTGACTCACGCAAAGTCTCCCATAGACTCACAGAGACTCATAGACTCACACAGAGACCCATAGACTCACACAGAGACCCATTGACTCACGCAGAGTCTCCCATAGACTCACACAGAGACCCAGAGACTCACACAGAGACCCATTGACTCACGCAGAGACCCATAGACTCACACAGAGACCCAGAGACTCACACAGAGACCCATAGACTCACACAGAGACCCGTAGACTCACACAGATACCCATATACTCACACAGAGACCCATTGACTCACACAGAGACCCATAGACTCACACAGAGACCCATAGACTCACACAGAGACCCATAGACTCGCACAGAGACCCGTAGACTCACCCAGAGTCTCCCTTAGACTCACACAGAGACCCATTGACTCACGCAGAATCTCCCATAGACTCACACAGAGACCCATAGACTCAGATAGAGACCCATTGACTCACACAGAGACCCATAAACTCACACTGACCCAGAGACTCACGCAGAGACCCATAGACTTACAGAGACCCATTGACTCACGCAAAGTTTCCCATAGACTCACACAGAGACTCATAGACTCACACAGATACCCATAGACTCACACAGAGACCCGTAGACTTACACAGAGACCAATAGACTCACACAGACACCCAGAGACTCACACAGGGAGCACCCCAAAGGTCTCCAACCATCTTCTCTTATGTCGTGGGGAGCAAGGGGGTGCATTGCCACAGCTCCGAGTTGGGGCCCCCGTGACAACCACCATGTGCTTTGTTTTCAAAAACAGTATTGGGACCCCACCTGACAGCAAATAAAAAAAAATGATAGCTCAACGAAGTGGCTTATCACCGTATGGAAGAGTAGACCAAACGCCCTCTGGAGATCACTCTAGCAAAGGGAGGACCTTCCGCCCACAGTGCGATGGGGGGGGGGAGCAAACAGATTGGCGAGTGGGCGGTGGATAGAGGAGGTTTATGTTCGGTGAATGCATTTCATTTGCTGTCACCTAAACACCCGCTAAGCCACGCGATCGACTGTGTGGAGGAGGGCGGTAGGTTAGGGCCCTGGGTAACTCGGCGTTGCTGGCCTTGAGGGCGGTTTTTGTTGCTGCTGTTGTTGTTTTGTTTAACAGAATAAATCTAAAGCTGAATCGACAATCGAATTTGCGAGCAGCGGGGGTGTGAAATTGCCGCTCTCACTTCAAAGCCCCCCGGGACCTGCCCGCTCCGAGACTTGATGAGATTATTTGCAACGTCACATCGCCTTCAACCCCCTCCACCCCTCCCCCACCACTGACTGAACCGCAAACACCGCGGCGGTTTCAAACTACGGGAGGAGCTGTGTGGATCGTAAATGAAACACGCAGCCCAACTTTGGTGGATGGGTTAGATTTTTTTTTCCGTGGTTCGCTAATGTACGGTACGGCCAACAAAGTTACGATCGAAAAAAAAAATCATTGCAACCTGGGTCCTGTCCGGGTTTTAGTAAACAGAGCAGCGGACGTTACACGCAAAGTGCTTGGCTACGAATGAACCACGATATCTCGCTGAACTCGTCAATGGAGCATAAACCACGATCACGCGAACTCTCCGCTCATCCTCGCAGCGTCGAACAAAGACGGCGCTCACCGCATCATCGCCCGGCGCTGTCAGATATGCTGCTTCTGTGGCCGTCTGGAACGCTCTTCCTTCCGATATTAGGAAGCCACTGGAGCTATGGCACTTTTAAATAATCGAGATTGACAAACTCATTTCTTTAGAACTGCTTTTCGTGTTTAGTTTGCTGTCCTTCCCCCGCACCTCCGATCCGCACGGTTGGCTAAGTACGGTGCGAACGAAGTTCAACGTACAAAAATACAAGTGATCATACCTAGGCTAATATTAATTCTGGAACACGTCCCGGATGTCTTCACGCTTTCCGTCCGAAGGTGGCGTTACCGATGAACGCGGAGAGAGAGCGAGTTTTATTTATTCGTTATATTCACATACTCTGTTGACTGCAAACACAACCGTTTAATAATTTTGTTCCAACTCTAAGGACGATATCGACGAGCAGATCGGGGTTCCAATTCCCAGGCGCCGCGCGGGAGGAGTTGCATGTTCTCCACCGTTAACGAGATGCGTTCAGCGGGGAACGGAATTGGGAGGTCGATTCTTGTTTGTGTAAAAAAGAAAAAAAGGTCAAAGTGATTTCCTGCCACTCAAGGGACGAGCCGATGGCTTGGTGGCCGTCTCAGAGGTGAGATGTTAACTACCTCGCCTGGTATACAGGAGGTCGTGGGTTAGATCCCGACCCTGACGCTTGCTGTATATTAACTACCTCGCCTGGTATACAGGAGGTCGTGGGTTCCATCCCGACCCTGACGCCTGCTGTATATTAACTACCTCGCCTGGTATACAGGAGGTCGTGGGTTCCATCCCGACCCTGACGCCTGCTGTATATTAACTACCTCTTCGCCTGGTATACAGGAGGTCGTGGGTTCCATCCCGACCCTGACGCCTGCTGTATATTTGGAGTTTGCGTATCTCTCTCTCCCCGTTGTCGCGAGGATTTTTCTCCGGTTTTCCTCTCCACATTTAGAAACGTACTTTTTAGAGTATTTGGCTGCTATACATTTCCACTTGACGATAAGCCACTTCGTTGAGCTATATAGCTCCATAGCTCCAGCTATATAACTCAGTGGGCCTGACCTGCAATTAAAAAAAGAATAGTAGATAAAAAAATATCTCCCGCTCACGCCTCTCTGAGACACCGGTGGAAATTCCGCATTTCCATCGGACACAGCCACCATCACCTTCCCCGCAAAGTGGTCCGTTATTTTATCGACCCCCCCCCCCCCGCGGGTGATGATGTGCCGAGTCGACCTTTCGATCGGGAGCCACTCGCTCGCTCGCTCGACCGCTGGAGCAACCCGACCAGGTTTTCCGTACCGCAGGCCTCAACGAAAATACAATTCCTTGAACCCCCCACGGGGACCTCACGCCACAAGCGATCAGAGGGAGGCCGTCCCAAGGCAATGATCTCTGATAATGGAATCGTCGCACGGCTGCTCGTGACCTCCCTGGTCCTGCTCCGTACGTGCGTGTGTACGCAGCCAGCCGTGCCAATCAGAGAGGCGCGGGGGAAGGACAGCGAACGTGAACGCCGAGAAGCAGTTTCTCAAGAAATTATCTAAAAGCGCAGAGCTCCCGGTGGCTTCCGAATGTCGGTAGGAAGAGCGTTCCAGACAAACACAGGTGCACTGGTTTGAATTGAGCGGCCGCCCTGATTAATACTGCGGCGTTTGTAAACCCTGGACAAGAGTGCCGATCGAGGTCGAGCGGAGAAAGCCCGACAGTCACGGACTGGATCTCGACGTCGTCGCTCGCAGGAGGATCAACGTTTAACAACCGCCCAAAATTAATTTAGCAGTGACCAATGTTGTGCTCCCCCCGTCCCCCCACCACCCCACCACTCCGATGACCCCATGACCCCGTGCCCCCCCCCCACCCCCACCTGCACGACGTTGCCGTACTGGATGACGGTCCCCAGCAGCTTCCGGTTCTCCGTCTCGTTTTGCTTTTTCTCCAGCTCGGCGGCGTGCTGCTTGCACACACACAAAAGACAAAGGACCCCCGCGTAGCCTTCAACGCGCTGTCGGGGGGCAAGTGGTGCTCCGGGAGTAGCACCGATGACGGAGGCTCGCGACGTCATGTGCGGTGGCGGCCTGGCCAGCAACACGCCCGGCCGCCTTTGTCTCCCCGGTGGTGATGTGCAATGCGCATTGCGCAAGGTACTCGTTCAAGGCCGATTCGACCTAAGAGAGGCCGAGAACCGGTGCGGTGAACGAGAATCGAACTCGGGCTGCCGGGTTCGCAGGGCGACGCGCTGTTCGCTGCACCACCACTCCAATGACGAAGATCCCCCGTATAGCCTTAACAGACTGTAGGGGCAAGTGCTGTTAGTGAGCACCTATGAAGGTCGGCACGGCACACGAGGGGGTGGGGGGCCAACACCTACGCCCGGGCCGCCTTTGTCTCCCCAGGTGGCGATGTTTACACACCGCGCCTAGGTACTCATTTAAGACTGAGTCGACCTAGGGGTACAGATAATCGTCACTGGTGTTGGCCATAAGCGGGAATAATAATCGGTTGGCCGGGTTCGTAGTGCTCACCGCTATGATTACCGCCACAGCTCCCCACACACTCGCGCACACACGCACAATAAATAAATAGAAGCGTAAACACGGACAAACACACACACAATTAAACAGTCAACTACATTACCATGCAAGTGGGTACATAAACAAGAGCGTGGTGGGGGGTGGGGGGGGTAAACCTTCCCGTTTAATTAAAATTCAGAATCAGAATCTTTTTTTTAGAAAGCAGGAGGAGGAATCCGATGATCTATGAAGCTATTTTATCACAGATGTCCAGTGGGGGGGGGGGGGGGGGGGGGGGGGGGGGGGCGGGGGGGGCGGTGGTCAGCAAGTTACAAAAACACACAATTCCAAAATTATCACCAATGCAGAGTACCAACCATCATCATTAGCAGCAGCAGCAGGTATCAAGCAGCACAGTCCATCCTCATCATCACCAGCACCAGCAGCAGCAATGGCGGTCACGGAGGCATTTCAAAAGCCATCCTAATTTCTGTCAAAAGTCGGCCGTCCGCTTGGGAATCGCTAATAGACAATTAGCGAGTTGGGGGGGGGGAGTGGGGGGGAAGTGGGGGGGGGGAGTGGGGGGGGGAGTGGGGGGGGGAGTGGGGGGGGGAGTGGGGGGGGGCCCGTGTGAGTGTCCGCGGCCATAAGACGAGCGATGATGAGGCCATCCGACCTCCGGTCGACCTCCGAGGATGGCCGTCTTCAGGTGGAACCGTCACAGCACGATAGCTGTATCAAGTGATATCAAGTGATACAGCTATCGTGCTGTGACGGTTCCACCTGAAGACAGAAGCTCGTGTTGCCTTCGAAACGTCGTGATTTTAATTTCATTTTAATTTATTTTTTATTAATTTTAATTTTTTACCTACGTGACTTTTACCGAAAAAACCTAAGAATATGAATCCTTGCAGTCACGAAAGCTTCAAATCTAGAAGCTCTTAGCGCCGTCCGTGCGGTGATCCACCAACCCTCGGTCGTCTCCACGGTGCCCGATCACGAGCCACGTGCGGCGAAGCCAAACCACCGCCGCCTCCCGGTGGACGACCGGCTCGGTTTTTAGCGTTCACCGGGTGAGAACCCAAGAGACCAAGACATCGCGTCTCACTTGCACCGCTATAGTTCCGCTCACGACAATCATCATCATCATCTTCACCACAATCATCATCATCATCACCACAATCACCATCATCATCACCACAATCACCATCATCATCTTCATCACCACAATCACCATCATCATCATCATCACCACAATCACCATCATCATCATCATCACCACAATCACCATCATCATCATCTTCATCACAATCACCATCATCATCTTCATCACAATCACCATCATCATCTTCACCACAATCATCATCATCATCATCACCACAATCACCATCATCATCTTCATCACCACCACAATCACCATCATCATCACCACAATCACCATCATCATCATCATCACCACAATCACTATCATCATCACCACAATCACCATCATCATCACCACAATCACCATCATCTTCACCACAATCACCATCATCATCACCACAATCACCATCATCATCATCACCACAATCACCATCATCATCACCACAATCACCATCATCATCACCACAATCACCATCATCTTCACCACAATCACCATCATCATCACCACAATCACCATCATCATCACCACCACAATCACCATCAACATCACCACAATCACCATCATCATCTTCACCACATTTACCATCATCATCTTCACCACAATCACCATCATCATCACCACAATCACCATCATCATCACCACAATCACCATCATCATCATCATCACCATCATCATCACCACAATCACCATCATCATCTTCACCACAATCACCATCATCATCACCACAATCACCATCAACATCACCACAATCACCATCATCATCACCACAATCACCATCATCATATTCACCACATTTACCATCATCATCACCACAATCACCATCATCTTCACAACAATCACCATCATCATCATCGCCATCATCATCACCACAATCACCATCATCATCTTCACCACAATCACCATCATCTTCACACACAATCACCATCATCATCACCACAATCACCATCATAACCACAATCATTATCATCATCACCACAATCACCATCATCATCATCACCACCATCATCGTCATCATCTTGCGTGAATTTGAGAGCGAGTTTCGCATCTTGCCTTGAAGCAAAGGAAAGACGCGAATCAACATCGTGGATCAGAGAAGTTGGCTGCTGGAAAGGTCCACGCGATAAGCCACTTCTTTGCGGCCACGTCACTCCTGAAAAAGAGCTACATAGCTCAGTGGGCATTACCTGGTAAAATGAATAAAAATAAAGTTAAATTTCGATTTTAAGCTTTCGTGACTGCAGGGATTCATCTTCTTGGTTCTTTCGATAAAGTCACAGAAGGGAAATAATAAAATAATAATAAAAAAACATAATAAAATACAATTCTCACGACGTTTCGGCCACAACGCAAGCAGCCGTCCTCAAGGGAAGAACAGGTCTGTCAGAAAGACGCTCATTCAGATGCTGTCTTTCCGACAGACCTGTTCCTCACCTGAGGACGGCTGCTTGCGTTGTGGCCGAAACGTCGTGAGAATTGTATTTTATTATGTTTTATTTTTATTATTTCCCTTCTACGTGACTTTACCGAAAGAACCAAGAAAATAAAGTAAAAATGTAGCATCCATTCGTGACCTGGGTATGTATTGCAAACGGTACGACTGTTAAAACGAAATCTGCGCCTCAACTTTCCTGGCTGGCTGCTGGCTGGACTCCTCTCCACCGAAGCTAGCTGGGTAACTGGCTGAACGGGATGTTCCATGAGGCAAACAAAGACTGAGTTGAAACTGTGGAATGAGACGTTCAGAAAACGTTTAACAATAACGATAATAGCCACACCAGATACGTGAGAGTAACTAACACAGGAGACTGACCACGGTTCATTTAAAACTCCCCTCACGGTTACTGTTGTTAGCGTGTGCCCCTATGAACGCAATTATTTATCCAGAATATTTTTTACATCCTGGGGGAGGAAATTTTTTAATTACAATAATGATGATACCCTCACGGTACATGTTACGTTTCCACTTTATATTATCTTGGCATCTCGCGAGGACTGTGAGAGGCGATTAAACACAACGACAGCAGCCCCCCGTCTCTTGCGTTCCGCTGCAGGAGCGACGGGTTCTCTACGGAGCGTAAAAAAATTAAAAAAAATAAACATCAAAATAAAGCAATATCCCCTTTGTGCAGACAAGAACCCAAGTCGGCAAGAGGCGTTGCGTCGCAGAAGCCGGGACTTGCGATTCATTTTTATTTCAACCCACGCTGATGGCATTGCCGGAACTCTCTGTTCCCATCTTAATTTTGGAGCTTTCGTGACTGCAGGAATTATTCTTTGGTTCTTTCGGTAAAGTCACGTATAAAGATAAAATAATAAATTAAATAATAGCATACGACGTTTCGATTGCAACACAAGCAATCATCATCAGGTATAAATGAAATAGCAACAAACAATCTAACCAGAAAACTATAGACAGACATATAAGCACACAGATATCAGCAAGATACATAGAGAGAGTAACACAGGTACAGAGAGGGGTGATCGTCTCTGTGGGGTGGCCTTAAATAGACAGAGGGGGCGAAGGCAGAGAGAGGGAGGGGTTAGAGAAAAAAATTACATGGCAATGAGTACTAAGAGACGCGTAGTAAAGTATGCAGGCTTGAACAATAGGAGAGATGGAGAAATAACACATTAATTTAAATCTGTTCCCAGCTTCACCAAGACTCCCCCCCACCCCCTCCCGGTGAGGTTTAATGTATTTTGATTCGGCTCATGACAACTCAACGTGATGCCCGACGCCACGGAATCGCAGATTTGCAACAGACATCAAGTCGAGAGGGAACGCAGCACGAGTGAATCAGAGACGGTAATATAATACTTTACGAGTCATTTGTATATTTATATAGGGTCTTAATGCGATATACGCAATAATCTCGAAGCCGTACAGGCAGAACTCTTTGTCTTCTTGGTTCTTTCGGTAAAGTCACGTAGAAGGGAAAAAATAAAATAATAAAAATAAAACATAATAAAATAATTATCGCGACGTTTCGGCCACAACGCAAGCACGAAACGTCGTGAGAATTGTTTTATTATGTTTTATTTTATTATTTTTATTATTTCCCTTCTACGTGACTTTACCGAAAGAACCAAGAAGATGAATCCCTGCAGTCACGAAAGCTTTAAATCGAAATAGAACTCTTTGTATGAAATGTTAAAATAATAACGATTCGAGCAAACCTCACTCTGATGCTCATGAGCCACCGTGGGTCAAAAACGGTCCAGGATGTTTGCTCGTCCTGATTCAATGCTGCTGAAATTCTGCACTGGGATGTGTAAGACATTTTTATTTTATTTTGT